AGTTTCACTTTAATTTCTTTTTCTGTTAAATCTAAAATTTACTTGTGCTGCATTAAAAGTAATTACAAAATGAACACGTCATGCTTTTAATTTATGTAAACATGGAATCCTATGAAATCATTTTTTTTCGATCAAAGTCAGTATTCGTCCTAACGGTTACAACAGTCAGTAAAAGTATGTACATAGTTAATAACGTTTAAGAACATTTTAACTATTCAAATAAAAAATACTTCGAGAACGTTCTAGTATATTTACAAAAGTACTATTGATTTGTCCTTTTATTAATGTGTTTTAAATAGGATTCATTTGATTCTTTTTAATTTTTACATTATAGTGACATACATTATGAATCTTATCGATTTATTTATTGATGCACCTTTAGTTCGAGATATTTCATCAATGAAAATGCCTAATCAAACTAAAGTTGTACCTTATTCTTTTACACCTTCTTCAAAAGATAATACCGATGATGATTATGATCGTCGGTATGTAATCTAGTATTTTCAAGATTGAATTATACGTTTATTTATAGAAGAAGAGATATAGCATGGGCACCATCAACGTGTTGTACTTGTTATTCCTCATTTTGTGGAGGATTAATTTTATTAATCTTACTTATTATGGCAATTGCCATTCCACTACTAATTACCATTGCAGCTTCAACAACAAGTACTACCACCATTATAACAACAACATCAACGACAAGTACTTCTACAGTCACAACTACAGGTAAATTGACTGAAATTTTTGATTGACGCCAAATATATCATTACTGTTATTAATAGCTATTACTTGCTCACCAGCATGTAGTTCAGAACAAACATGTGTACTAGGTGTGTGCGTGGGTATTGGATATCTCTCTTGTACTCTAACGTGGTCTCGAATAGGAGATGGTGATATTGTAGTCAGTACACCAAATGGTAATACTATTAATTATATGAATATGGGTCCATCAACATCTACTGATCAAGGTCAACTAGATGCAGATTGTACAAATGGAACGGGACCAGAAAATGTTTTCTGGTCACGCGGTGGACCTATTCCACCAACAGGCACCTATTATGTCTGTTTTGAACCATATTTTTTCAATCCGAATATAACTAGTGCAGATCCAATATCTGTAACAATAGACATCAAACGCTCAAATAATACTAATTTATCTGCTACACAAAACTACACATCTACTATAAGAAATAATTATGCATGTGATGCAAATTCAATGACCCTTCTAATTTCCTTTACTTATCCTTAGTAATTCTTAAATATATTTTTTTATAACTATGAACTTCTTTTCTTTTCTATTCTAATCATCAATAGTCATTTAGAGATATTTGAATTATATTCTCGAAAAAAAAATTATGAATAATAAAATAATTTATTTATTGAAATGAAAAAAGAATACCGGATATATGATTACTTTAGCTGAGTCATATACACATTTTTATTATTTAATTGTCACTGTTCTAATTCGATGCAATAATTATAGAAGTTCCAGTACCTCGAACGTTTCGAAAGAGTGGATGCAAAGTTTGTTGATTTCTATCTCCATTCCAGATTGAAGTGTTTATTGTAAAATAGACGTAATCGAGTTGACGAAGATTTGTAAGAACTTTAGCTAAACTGGTCAAAATTAATTCTGGACTTTTATTATCACTGTATTGTCTATTATCAAAAGTGAGGGATTTAAGATTAGGCATAAATGTTAAAATTGAAGTAAATATTTCGAATGTTGAACGAATAAAAAGATATTGAATTAAATCCAAACTAAAACTAGAATGGAGTGTAAAAGAAATATTATTTTGCGGTTTATCATATACGATAATATTCAATCGAAATATATTTGGACAAGCATGAAGTACACAAATAATTCCGTATAAATTATGAACACTGATCGATAATGAACGAAGTTTTGGAGAACCATGCCAAGAATAATTAGTAGTTGTTTGATCGAGTTTACAGTTTTTTAAATATTTAAATCCATTGGAAAAAATCAAATTTAAAAGAATCGAATCTTCAAGTGGATAAGATAGATTTAAATATTCAAGATAAGGAAAATTTTCTGGACGAATTGAATTTCGTTGTTGTAAACTTGGATATTGAAGAGTTAATGAACGAAGTGCTAAAAATGGTGTAATATCAAATTGTCCAAGACACACTTTGAGACATATGATGCATGAGTTAAAAAATGTAAGAGCTGGATGATGTTTATTTGATTCATCAACAGTAAAATTTAGATGATTTGAAGTTTTGAGAATGGTACTAAAACGTTGATTTAAACCGAAAAAAATACGATATAATTCTTGCCATGAAAATAAAGGAAAAATATCGAACGTAAATATCTCATTAGGAAGATTTTCTAAACATGTTAAATGATTACTATTTTTCATTTTCGTATATGTCACATTCATTCACATTTTATTCTACAACTTTTGTTATTGAATGAAACAGCATAGAGGATCGTATTGGCTATTAATAGAAGACCAATAAGAATAGTTTTGTAGGTGACCCTAGATGTCTGACATTTTAAATCCTAAGAGCAAACTGATGCAAAATCTTTGTTAATTGTAATACTAGTCGTTTTCTTAACCACAAGGTTTATTATACAATATAGACGATTGATATGATTTAGTATAGTCTATATTAACTATTAATCTTGTTCACTATATACTAAACTAAATAAAAAACTATAGCTTTGAACAAGAGCTGAAGTTAATTAATGTGTAGAAAAATAATAACTTTGTAGTTAACAAATATTATCTTTTTTTTATTCTAAATATTAGAAGACATTCCACGTCTTATAAATAACTTACAACTATGTAAGAAGTAAGCGACATTTGTTCTTTTTCTTTCTCCAATAAAACTATTACAATTGGAATATGAACAGCACCATACAGAAAGAAGGCAGATAAAGAAAGAAAAATTGTGTAACTTAATTGGTTAAATCTTAGACAACAATGAAGATGACTCATCATGAAACGATGTTTGCTCAATACCCCTTCACAAATATTTTTCTTCTATGATAGAAGACGAAATAAAAAAAAGACAAATGAATCTTTTATTATTTACTCAAGATGATAAACTAACGTATGTATTCTTATTTGAATCAAGTTTTCTTTTTTCTTTTTCTTATCAAATTTGACGTTCTTTTACAGGTGACGAACAGAATAGAACATAACATATATATATATATATATATGGTGTGAATATGGCCTGATCCAGTAGACAACAAGTTCAGTATACAGGACATATAAAATGACGACAGTAAATGAAATTAAAAACCCTTCAAAACAAATTGCATCAAAACAAACTGTATCAAAACAAACCATTTTTTTAGTTATAGTTGGTTTATCGGCTTTATCTATTTCGCTTATTTATCAACCATTACCAGAGAATTTTCCTCAACCATGGAAATATCGATTTCTTTCATTTTGGGCACATCTTTTTTCAAAAATAGTAAGTTATATACATATAAAAATATTCTATTTTTTCAATTGAATTATGTTCTTTTTCAGGGATATTTAGGTGAACAAGTGAATTTATTTGATCGTATTCATGTTTTACGTTTTCTTTATTATATTGCTGTCGGTTGTTTTCAAGTACGAGATCCTCAACATCATTTAAAGGTATAATAAAATGATTGTTTTATAATTGAACTATTAATAAAGAATTATTTTATAGGTTTATGATAGAAAAATATTGAATATTAGTGTACGAATTTATGAACCGGAAGAATTCGCACATGAAGATAAAATGCCAACAATTATACATTTTCATGGAGGTGGTTGGCTTTTAGGATGTCGTGAAACATATGATCAAGTTACATATGCGTTGGCTAATTTAACACGTGCACTTGTTATATCAGTCGAGTAAATCTTTTTTTTTTCAATTTGTACAGAATAGACGGAAAATTAATTTTTATAGGTATCGTCGTGTACCCGAACATTATTTTCCAGCAGCTCTTGATGATTGTACTTTAATTACTTATGAATTATTTCGAAATGCTGCTAATTATCGTATTGATGTAAATCGAATAACTTTAGCAGGTGACTCTGCTGGTGGAAATTTAGCTTTAGTTATAACACAATCATTATTGAGAGATGGTTTTAGTCCTCGTGCTGCTTGTTTGATCTATCCCGCATTACAATTTTTTGATTTTACATTACCTTCTTACCGATTATATTTACCACGTAATATTCTTGGTGTTATTAATGAACAGAACTTTCTTGAAGTTATGTCTGAATTAACTCAAAGTAAAATAAAAGTTACACGTGATGTTTTATTTAATAATCATACATCGGCAAAAGATAAAAAACGATTACGTCCATATGTTGATGCTCAAAAATATTTACCGATTTCGCTTCCATTTGATAGTGATGAAGAAGGCGATGAAGATTTAATTCAAAATTTATCATTTCTTATATCACCTAAAATGTCACCATTATTAGTTTCGGATGAAGAACTATCAAAATTACCGCCAATTATACTTTTTACTACTGAATATGATATACTCAGAGATGAGGGTAAATATATATTTTATTTTTAAATAAAGTGGATCGTTATTTAATATTTTTTCATTCTAGGTTTTATTTTTGCTGAACGTTTGAAATCATTGAATAAGACTTTGTATCATCATCATTTTCCCACAACATTTCATGGGGCACATCTTCTTATACATGGTCCGATAAGTTTTAATATTGCTTATGAAATGATTGAACATATAGCAAGAAAAATACAAGAAAATCTATAATTTTATTATTTATTATTTTTCTATACTTTGCATTCTACATACATATACATTTATTTCATTTTTTTTTGTATCGATGAATTCACTAAATGTGAATGAGATTTATTTATTTTTTTACGATAATCATCGCTTTTATCTTTAGTTTTTTGTTCTGAAATATGAAATAAATGAATAAATTGTAAAATACATTGAAATTATCTTCTGATTCAACGATGAAAATCTTTACATGCATAAAATAATCCAGTTCCTATTATTGAGCAACATACAAGCAGAGAAATGCTTATTCCGTTGCTAAATCCTAGAATTGTTGGATGACAATAGATATTTTGTCCATTAATATAATAATAAGAATTTTGTTTTAAGGATTTTGTATTTGACCAATACAAACCCTAAAATAAAAAGATTATTTACAATAAATATTATATATATATTGATACTTACTATTATACTCCAGATAGCTGCAAAAACAAAAAGAATAGCTATCATTATGCCATATAGAATCATAACAGGACGACGATTGATGGAGCCAGAAAAAATAAATTTTTCAATAAACTATATGAAAAAAAAAGTAGATATATATATATACACATGATATGCTAGTATGAATATTTTACAATAATAATGCTGAGCCAACAAAAAAAAATACCAAATATGCCAAAACCCAGTAACCATTCAAATGTACGTGGTTGACCAGGACATTTCCAAAATTTCCCACTACTCATAATCAAAGCAGTTATTGAAAGACTGATGAGAGTTATTAAAAGTAAAATAAATAAAATAACAAATGCGTGTTTGATCATTGATTTATTCGTATTTTAATCTCAATTTGCACTGTTCAAAATAATCGATAATCAATCAAATATTCTGCTATGTGTTATTATAGAATTGGCATTTTCATTGCAGAGAAGTTTTTGAAAGTGGAGGAACATAGTTGTTTATTTCTCTGACGTTCGTTGACACGAGAATCGAACAATTATTTTGTGTAAACAGAATCGTGATGATGACGGACGAATAAAGTACAGAACTTTTTAAAAGCTGAGTATTTTTATTTATAGTGATTATGTGCATATGTAAAAAATTCACTTTATATTATCTATCTTCTAGCTTTATCAAACGTAATTAAACTTTATTGATATTGATTAATATGTTTCTAAAAACGTTATGTAAAAAATATATGCGGTAAACAACAATAATTATTCATACTGTTTAATAATAGAAAGAGAAAAAAAGTATTGTGTATGATTGTTATGAAAGAAAATAACAAATTTTTATTTTAATCATTACTCTTTGAAATAATAACTTTAATTACAATTGCTTTGTCAATAAAGATATGAACGGTACATAAAATTCATTTTTGAAAATAAATAGATATATTAATATTTGTGTTTAACACATACACATTACCATCAATAATTTCAGTTTGACATAATCCAAACACTAAAATTCAAAACTTTTTGTGAATGTTGTCATGATAACAACATAGTTTTTATTAAGTATAGTGTGTTAGCAGAATTTTTAACAAGATCTGACGAGTATATCATTTCATTATAATCATTCTATGACACAGCGTGAGTGACTAATATTCTGTTAGATCAAAATCCAATTTGTTTTCAATGCTTAACTAGGTATTTTATTAATAAGAACGATGATTTCTCCCATCTATAATATATGAGTATTGTTAATAATTTTTTTTAATAATTTACATCCAATTTTTATAAATATAAACTAGAAAATACAACAATTGTTTCATAGGTTTTGTTTCCTATTATGAAAATCATACTAAAGTCACGATTGACAGTCATAACTACTTGTGATAAAATATATTTAAGAAGTTTTTTGTAATCTATAAAAAACTATGTCTTATACGTGGTATCATCGAAATATTTTATAATAGTATTCAAATGTACTTTCTTTGTGTCTCGATAAAGTATGTACAAATCTACTGTTACCTTGGAAGAATTCTTCATATCGAATTGCATCAATAATCCGAGAAAAACTTTCTATCGATAAAACTAATGACAATAATTCAGTCAAAACAATATCATTTGATCTTTGATAAATACAAAAAAGCGATGAAATATTCAGACGCGCAATAAAAATTAAATTGTTAATATTTTTATCATTCCATGGTTATCAAAAAAAAGTATAGCTTTGATTCATGTTGAAAATAAACGAGCGTACATATAAATACGAGAACAATTTGTTACAAATATCATTATGTTGGATTACAACATTGAGTTCGGTTTTATTGAGAAGCAATATATATTATTTATTCGTTTATTTCAGAATAAAAAGAATTAGTCTAATAATGAAGATCATATGCATCATCGCAGGTATGAACTAATATTAAACTGAATAAGTTCAGACATTATTCTTTGCAGTTTTACTTGTTACATTGGATTGCTACAATACTCAAGGGGGTGGTGAAACGTCGACTGAATTATCGTCAATTACAATCATCACAACTAGTACAACGACTACAACTCCACCACCAAATCCTGCCGGTAGTAGTTCATCTACCACAACTACAACTCTAGCACCAAATCCTGCCAGTAGTAGTTCATCTAACACAACTACGACTCGTACGTATATTCTTATAACTTCTAAATTTAATCTAACAATTGTTTATTGTATATTGTAACTACAATAGAAACACCAGAGACTAGTACAACAACAAGTGAAGCATCGCTTTCTTCAAGTAAGGTTTTTTTAGTTAACTCGACTTCAAGACAAATTTTATATATTTCGTTTTTGATTTTAGTAAAAAATAATTTAGGCTTTATTCTTGGTCTTTCACTTGGACTTGGTATGCCTGTTTTTTTCTACTGGAGTTCATGAACTTTTTCTTCTACAAAAACTTTATAACAATGAATTTATTTTACTAAATGAATAAGGACTTTTTTTTGTACTCAAGAAAAATGAATTAATAAAAATATATTTTACATGAAAAAACAAGAAAATTGATTCATTTTTGTATAAACAACAAATCAATTCCATGTATGAAATAAGCTGTTAATACTAAATGACTGTATTGTTGACAAGTGTACAATAATATATACTCATATTTCTTTTTAAAATCATATTAACAATAACTTTGTAATTACAAATGAAAAGATTTCCAGCATAACTTTTGAGAATATGTCTAAAGAATTATTTTTTGTGATATATTTTGATAAAGTATCATTTTGCGACAAAACAAAATCGATAAGTATGTGATTTGATTTTTATCGTTAATCTTAATAGTTAACGTTATTCGAAATATATACTTTGTCAATATTTATTCTGTATGATATAGAAGAATAACTTTCAAATAAAATCCTTCTCTCTATTAATGTATGTAAATACAATGAAATTGTATTTAAAAAAATAAAAACTTGAATATAAACTTATCAAGGACATTAAGGTTACAGATGGCTTTGAATGAAATATTTGTTGTGATTAACACAAGAAGAATAAATAATTCAAAAAATCGCTTAGATTTGTTTGAAACATGATTTAAAGTAGTAATAAAAATTGCATTCGAATGTCTATGTTAGTTAATTTATTCTATCTTTTTTCATTGCTTTTGCGTGTATATAACATTAATATTTAGCAACATTTACTCTGTATACAACTACGAATAGTTTATAAAAACTCAAAGAACGAAGAAGAATTTTAGTTACATCAACTGTTTAAATAATCCATGTATATTTAATTATAAAACGAAATAATTATAATGTTTCTACAACTATATATTATCATGGTACAATAATATATCGAAACATTTGTTTCTGTAGGAGTACTTTTTTAAAATCTTTAGAATATCAAAATTAAATAATCTTTAACTTAATCAAAAATCTAACGAGAGCGACATATTCTCTTTCTCGTAGAGAAGAGTCCAGTAAACATAAATTTTCTGATCGCTTGTATGTCCGCAGGGTCAAAAAAACATCGAAAATCGATTTTCAGGAAAAGACATTTCTAGAGGTTTTACAATGCGGGGACTTCGAATCTAACGTTATTTTTTTTAAATTCTTTCAAAAAAACATTTTTTGGGCAAACGACCATTTTTTACGAAAAAGTATTTTTTTATAAAATCTCACGAAATGGTTTTTATGATCGGAGAACACGAATCTGATGTTAGTGGTTGCAAGTTATATAAGCAAAAGTTGCCGTAGCATTGTAGAACACCATTTCTACGAGAAAGAGCTAAGCGAGTCCCTAGACGAGCGTTACTTGTTGTTATATATGTCATTGTATATTAATAGATTTTAGTTTCAAATTGTGTATTAGAAAGATGGCATATGATCTGGGGTGTTGGTGCCAAGAGTGGGTGTGAATGTGAGTATGAGTGTTCGTCGATGCTTGCTGTATCTAATATCCGCACTAAAAGCCACACCCACATCCAGTTAACAAATATATATCTTCGAAAAAATGATATTCGTAATTGCTTTCTAACGTCAAGAAAATCGTTACACCAAAATTAAATGTTATGCAAGTGTTTTTAGCGACAGCTGTAAATAATGTAGTAAAATATGATAATATTAGTCGAACGGCGAAACTTAATAAAAAAGAAGAAGATTGTCTTGAATAAACTACTCCTATGCTTCAGGTATAAAAATCTTATTTATTCTTATGTTTTGAAAATATTTTTCACATATAGAAATGGGATGTACCAGTAAAAATCGAAGAGTTTCTTAATCTTTCTAAAGAATATGCTACATTTTTTTAACAAAAGCGATTTGTTTCCGAACGGAAGACCAACGTATGACTGGTTTCATTGTTTTCTTATTCGTCATCTCCACCTTATTGTAAAAAAGTCATACCCGTTGGAAAAAAAACGAACTATATTAACAATTGCTCAAATTGATGTTTGGTTCAAATTATTACATAAGATAATTTAGAAGATCGTCCAGCTCAAATTTTTGACTGTGATGAATCAAGTGAATACAAAATGCTATTTTAATAATGAATTTGGCAATAATAGAATATGTCTGACAATATTGGTTACTCAAAAGTAATTGTTCATCGACAAACATCGAATATGTTTTAGACCTAACCCATAATATCACTGCGTGTTATATAGATGATAAACATTCGTTTTGTAATTAGATATTTATATGTTAGTGTGTGACTGTATCTTTCCAAGTACTATATAAAGGACGAGGAAAATACAGTATGGTTACGATTTCTTTGGAAGAATAAAAGTTTATACAAATATATGTTCTCGTGCAGTTCTGTATGGATTCAGAAATTGTTACAATTGAGAACTGTACAATCTTTTAGATTGTCACCGTATTTTTCTCACAGAATATATGCTAGGTTTAAAATCATTCGAAAAAGAGAATCAATTATATCGAAATAAACTACTATTTTTCGATTCTTTAATAAATTAAAAAAAGATGCTTAATCAATCAGATAGAATATGCCTACTTTCTCTCTTCATATATGTATTTTCTTCTTATTCTGCTTTATTGGTTTTTTCTTTAACACATCACATATGTTTGGATTTTTCAGCAGTGGCCAGATTTTCGCGAAAGGGTGATTTCGGAAGATACTGAAATTTTCGACCACCATTCACTGCCACATAAGGGTTTCACTACCTACTAATCACACCAGTACTATCAACTATACAAGAAGCTTTAGAATTTTTTGCAGTTTTTAGACACCATACTACATATATGAAATAGAGGGCAGATAGATAACACGTGAAGCAACCGAAGTAACTTCAAAAAGCTTCTAGGAAATTCCCGTAATCACTACGGAATATAGTACAGTTTATCAAGTAGAAGTGACGTATACCAAACGTGCAGCGTAGACAAGAGCTTTCGAAATTTCAAGATAATTTCATATATTACTACAGAAGATAATTTATAACATCATATATACGTGAGATATGTTACAATGTTACCGTAACTTGTCGAAGAAGATGATCGTTTTGGAAGCTTGTAATAGTCCGTTTATTTGAGAAGAAAACGCAAGTATTTATAGGACAAGAAATGGTTACTTTGATTATTCCCATGTCTTGTAATACAACATATTCTGGGAAAAATCCCATACGAATATATATGTGAAAGCAAAGAAGAAAATCCCATATGATCGTACATGAAGGGAAAGGGAAAAATACCATATAGATATATTATGTAAAGAAAAGGAAGAAAATACTATATGATCAAATATGTGAAAGAATAGCGAACAAATAATCTGTATGCTCGCCTACACGATGTATGAAGGGTAGAAGAGAAAAGGAAATTATGGAAATTTCCTCGCAATTTCTGCATTTTTTTCTTATTTCCTACACCAGCTCTCCCTCTTATGTATCTTACATGATTTATTATATATGAGGAATTTCCCTGTATTTTCTTCCTACTTCCTGCTTTCTACCCTACCTATATATAATATATATTTCACATTATGTGTCACATATGAGAAATTTCCCGGTAATTTCTATATTTTCTTCCTACTTCCTACACTACCTGTACATAATATGCATATCATATTGTGTATTATATTAAGAAATTTCCATGTAATTTAATGAGTCAGAATGAAATATGCTTCGTTAGTTGCTGTCTATTTGACGTAAACGTCACAGTTGATTGCTTTCGTAAATAAATGTATGTTGGAAGAAACCAAATTACTTTTATCTATTATAAATACGAACCGAATTCAGCTACAAAAATATAAAACAAACTTGCATATCATACAACTGTATCACATATTACGGAAGTAAGTTTAATTTTCAATTTTAGTTCGAATATCATGTTCTGATTTAAATTTGAACCTAGGTGAGCCGATATATCAACTTTACCCGTTCATAGTTTTGCATTCTTCTCTCTCTCTTGTTCCTTTTTACGTACATCTCTCTGTTGTTCTCTCTCCTACATAAACATGTGTTCGATATGAAAAAGTTATATTCTGGATATGTCAAGTAATTGATAGACATCATCACCGCGGATCTGCCAAGCTGCTCTATCCAGTTTATCACTCGATCATTTCGCTCCTTATTTTATTATTACAACTATTTTGTAATATTCTTGTTCTTTCCGATTATATATCGAAAATTCTGGAACTTGCTATAAATACACAACAGTGTTCAGATATCCGTCAAACGAAAATTTCGGAAAATACTGAAATTTTCCACCACCATTCATCTATATAATAATGTCGAGTTTCTGTCTGTCTATCTGTTACCGAATAAAAGGTTAGAAAAACACCAATCAGGTTCCCTATAATTTGAGAGTGGGTAGAAGTGAGTATATGTGGATTAAATAGGGTTAGAGTGGGTGGATGTGAGTGGAAATTAGTGAATTAGGTAGAAGTGGGTGGAAATGGGTGAAATAGGATAGGAGTGGGTGGAAGGTTGGAGGATTGGTAGAAATGGGTGAACTAGGGTAGCAGTGATTGGAAGTGACTGAAATAGTGTAGGAGTCGGTGAAAATGAGTGAGATAGGGTAAGAGCCGGTAGAAGTGGATGGGAATGGGTGTTAATCAGCGAAATACATGTGGGATTGGTGAATGAGAGTGAAAATGGTTGAGAGTGGGTGATATACAATGAGCGTGGGTAGTGTAGGTTTTAATTGCATCTCGATAGTGGGCTTGCCTTTTATGAGAAACACTGTTATTGATGAAAGATATCATGCATTTTGCACGGGTCTCTACTAGTTTCCACATAAGGGTCCATACCATAATGCTTTTATTCTAACACTATTAAACCTGATGGTTGCGTAGTATGGTGTTATACGAAACTATTAAGGCTTAATAGGAAACTCTAAAGTTTCCATATCTCCCTACGAAACCTTTTTATGCTGTACGAAACTTAAAAAGGAGTTTTGCAATAAATAGTTTAGTCTTTATGTCCGCGTCCGGATCTTTTTAAGGTTTCGAAGATTTTTTTAAACGTTTTTTTAGACATCTGAACGCATTTGGATTCTTTTAGAAACCTACGAAACCCTTTCGGAGGGTTCAGGAGCGGTCCTTTTTCTTAGAGTATAGCATCATTACATTTTAAAAAAATGATGTAAAAAGGAGACACGTATATCTGATTAAACTGATAAATATCGTCATAATGAGATGACATACGAAGACTGCATTTTTCTCTTTTTACAAGAAAGTTTTATTCAACAATTTCTCTAAATATCTTCTAAAAAAGTTTAGAAAGTTACATTAGTTTGCATTTTTTCCAAGGTGGTAAACTTAATTTTTGGGACAGCAATGCGCACACAGTCCTTCAGCCTGATAAAACACTGGATAAGAAAAGGGAAAAAACCATCACATGTGTACATGCAAATCGTAAAGAAAAAGTAAAAGATCTGTCGTACACTCATATGATAAGAAAGAGAAAAAACCATCACATATTAACGTGTTCTATGAGTTTTAATTTGTTTGTCGAAGTTACAACTTCGACAAGATACGTCATCAAAGTTTTTCTCAGAAGAGTGAAGGTATAATATTTACTAAGTATATTCTTCGCAGAGTAGGGAGTCATTCTTCGATCAGGTATTTTAAGTTTTGGCGAAAAGTCCACTCGGCGAATAGTTATTCGGCGAATGCTTACTTTCTTTCTTCATATATATTTTCCGTTTTTGTTTTACCTTATTGGTTTATTCGTTAACACGCCATATATGTTGGAATTTTTTCGTAATTTTTCTTTGTTTCATCTTATCTTATGTAATACGTCTCTGGGTTTTATTCTGATCGTTTTATCTTCATAACACGATAAATATTTCTTGAAGGTGTGTGATTCACTAGCTTGAGGGTGTGGGTGTGAAATAAACCAAAACTCACACTCACTCATATTCAGATTCACCGTCGAGAGGAACAAACAAAATATAAATGTTTGGTTTTTTTCTTAACTATGCGAAGAAATGGGAATCATTCGAAAACAAATATTTTCGTCCCACTGTAGAAAGAAATTATTCATTTCATTTTTTTTCTCCCCATGTTGTGTAAACAATTTCTACTTAATTCAATGATTTTTCCTCAATGAATAATAAAATCATATAAATACTATAAGAAAGAAAGAAAAAAACAGAAGAAGTCGGTAGTTTTTTTACTGTCAGTGTACATACATGTCTATATATATAGTATTAATCTCAAAAATTTTTACTGTTATAGGTGTCACTAAATGTTCATCAACAGTTATGAGATCCTGATTTAAACATTATTAAAAATGGCAGAACACAGTTCTGCATAGTATTTTCTATTAAAAGAGCTCTATTTCATCATCTCATTGGTGCGAATTCTATAAAACAGAACATTCCACATATTCAATTTCGATTTGTTGCTTTTTATGTTGGCGGTAGTGAGTCAAAGATTACACTTCTTATCTATTTTCCAAAATGCCAACATAGTATTATATATATATATACAGGTTACATACAAATATGATTATAATAGACGATAATACTACTTCCTCGTCTGGCATGTTACTTCAGTATATGATAGAAGAATATGAAATTTCTGATGGCCTTAAAAATTTATTCAACAGTGATAAGTATCAAGTTTCTTTTGATAGCTGAGGTGAAGGTGGGTGTGAGTGTGTGTGAAGTGATGACAACATTCACTGACACGCACACGCACATCCGTACCCGCATCCACCCACACCCACACTCTTTTGTGGTTCCCATTTTAATCCTAGATGAATTATACTAACATTTATCTATATATATTACAAATTTTATTGTAGATTATCATAATAAAATTTAAAATATTATTTTCTTATTATAACTATTATCACATTTCATGAACATAAATAATGGCTTTATGCACACAAAATATGAATATCAAGTCAGAAATGCTTACAGAAAAACGTGATGTATGTGAAGAAGCATTGAAACTATGCAGTCAATTTAAAAGCTATGGAGTGCATCCAGTAAGTCGTATGAAAGCAGCAGGGTTTCAATACACAGGAGACAAGGATACAGCTCGTTGCAATAATTGTGATATTGAAGTATCAGAATGGACGCGAGAAATGAATCCATTCTTTATCCATTTGGAACGTAGTCCAAATTGTTCATTTGTTCGTTCATTACAATTAAAGTATAAGTCAACGCTGTCTTCTGAAGAAAATTCAACTAAGCGACAAAAGATGGAAACAGATAACAACCAATATAACCAACAGAAAAAATTAATTGAATCCAACACTTTTCAACAAGTGCGTCAACGAACATTTTCACATTGGTTACATCAAACAACACCAACAAAAGAACAAATGATACATGCCGGCTTCTTTTGCACTAATGTAGGTGATCGTGTTATATGTATGTATTGTAATCTAATTTGTCAACAATGGGAAAAAGATACTGATGATCCGATTGAAGTTCACAAAATCCTATCACCAAAATGTCCCTATGTTTTATCTTTGCCACTACAAGAGGAAACATCATTAGTTGTAATTGCCAATGGAATTTCAACCGATAATAACAATAATCAAACAACATGTACTCCAACAACTATAAATAATCAACCATCGCAACCAATAGATGACAACTTATTATCACGTCTAGTCACTGCTCGATTAGATTTGCCTATATCACAGCAATTACTCAATCAAAACTTTAAATTATCAATTATAAAGCGTTGCTGGGAAGACCAACTTCGATTAAAACGTGAGTAAATAGGATTTTAAGAAGAGTGTATAATGTTACGATAGTTTATACCTACCGATTTATTTGTTTAGACGATGATTTTGTTACCGATTGTGATCTACATACAGCTTGTGTCATTCTTCAAAAACAAATTCAATATATAAATGGAGACAAAAATAATATTATAGTACCTAGTATTAAAATGAAATCCATTCGTAACAATGAACAATCAAGTACATAAAATATCTTATTAAAAATGATTTATCTATAAATAACAATTATATTTTTAGATACGTCGATTCTACAACAGTCACAGCCATCTTCGTCTTTGTCAATCTCACCTTTGACAAACTCATCTACTAATTCTTCGATGAAAACAAATAATTCATTCGTACAAACATCAGAAATAGCATCAAGCAAACCAATAACCATGTCCACATCAAATGAAAAGACAGTAATAGAAGAAACGAGTTCAGAATCTCAGATTGTACTGAATCATCCTTGTGTAGTATGTTCGAGAGAAGAGAAACGTTTGGCGTGCGTTCCTTGTGGCCATCTTGCAGTATGTGTTAGTTGTTCTGGAACATTACGCATATGTCCTGTATGTCGTCAGAGTATCGAAGCGTATGTTCGTGTTTACGTCTAAATAATTCTTCACTAATAAATATAATAAAATTGAAACTCAAAAAACCGAATTTTCGAAAAATTAATATATTGAACAAAAAAAATCTCGAATTAGTATATGAAATTATGGGTGTGAATGTTAGATGCAGCAAATATCGACGATCACACACACACACGTTTCCACAATGTGCATTTAATTTTTGTCATCCAGTATCTGTTGAAATAATGGATTAATGGGCGTATTGCATCAGGAGCATTATGCAAAATTTCTTTAAAAACTACGATCACTTAGATTAAGTGACGTGAGAAGAAGAGCTATAAATTTACGTGCGTCTTCATTATCTCGATAAGCAGTGGTCAGACGAAGTTGTTGAATTTGTCGATAAACTGAATTCGCGTAGTGAAAGTAACACCCAATGTGACGAGCGTTAGGAAACTAAAAACTTTGATAATTATTAATTCAAGGAACATAACAGTGAACTTACTTCGTAAGCTACCGCTTTAATAAGAGTAGCTCAGTTTGGTCATTGTTTATACCATGAATTGAAAAAACTTGTTCAAAATGTGGTGGACAGCTGCGAAATGTACCGTCTATCATTATATGCGGAGATTTAAAGACAGAATGAAGTTGATGGTCGGTGGAAAAGATAATTAATTATTTTTTGAAGTTTTACACCAACGGGCTCAATTTGATCAGCAAGTAAATATTGCTGTCCATTAGTTGTTTTTCGATAACGGGATGGAATATTGAAATCTACACATGTTGGCATAATAGCAAGAGCTGCTCGAGAAAGATTAGCTTTAACCTTTGTCATCATCTTGCAAATTTCTAGTCGTTCAGGTTTAGGCATATCGTCATGAGTGCTTTCCGTGTACTTGAGAAATAAATCATTCGAACTAAGATGAACATCTGCATTGCAAAGTTTTTCTTCACAAATCCAGTAGTTTACTTTCAGAGTTGATTTGTTTTGTTAATATATGAAACCATCAATAACTAGCAAACGTTTACCCTTATTACTTATCAGGAATGAAATTACAGATGTTTCATCTATATCAGATGATGACCTGTTCTTTAATATAATCAAAATAGAAATAGATAACATTCAAAGTAATTACGAGGATGTTAAGAGAATGATCGGCGATGAGTGAATGAACAAGAAGAATATATCAGGAAGAAAAATAAAAGAAAACATGCCAGCCATAATGATATGTTTGAATCTGTTCAAATGATTGTTGAATGAGATGACATCTTCTCAAGTTTTGTTTTAATTTCAATACGTTAAAAATTTGAGTTTATACATTTCACAGTTCTTCTGTTATAATGAGTTTTTTTTCGAGATTTTGACAGTCCTATTTTAAGAATCTATTGTGTTAGTCACATCTTCCAGAAACGTAGCGCAAGACATGATGTGACACGTGGAGCATTACTGTATTGCTCATCTCATATGATTTGATTATTTATGATGCTGTATCGTTATATAACTTATGAAAGCAATTATTTTGTACTTTACATCTATTAAGAAAATCTTTTCTTAGTGCGTGAATATAAATAATAAGCGCGATCGTCCGCTTGTTTTACAAATATACAGTCGTTATCTGAAAAATAGTAATAAATTAGAATATCATCATGTCATATTATTTCCTTAATACGTATGGACATCGTACGTTTCCTAGGGTAACTGTATTACACAAGTGATATTCTTTCTCATGTATATTGTTACTTGTCGTTTTATTATAGAGCATTTTTCATTCTATTTATAGATTAAGTAGAATATTTAATATTCGAAATAAGTTTCATTAAGAGTACCATGACTTATCAAATACTGATGCCGAGAAACAATTCTACAATTAAACAGTCAATGCAAGTCACATGTATTCTATTTGATATATTCTCCATAGTTCATGATATGAAGGATATTTCTTACAAGATATATATCGAGATAATTAAAGTATATATGTACATTGATTTGTCGATAAGATATAAACGAAAAACACACAACACATGTTTTTTCGTTTAATTAAATTTCATCTATGTTAGTCACAAAAAAAATGCCCAGTTTCTACCTTTCCTTTGAATCTTATCAGTGTTAATATTATCTCTCTCAGTTGTTTTTATATGATGCTTATCTATATTAAAATAAAATATACGTAAAACTCTTAAATGAGTCATAATAAATCATACGAATGCATTACATGTATTCGTAAAAAGTAATATCTGATATAACAACTTATTCTTTGATAATCGATCAAAAACATTTTATTGAAGAGAACTTATCTGTAATATTCAGATTAATATATGTTGCATGTATAGATCTTATTATTCATCAAAATAAAATTTCTTTTTTCTATGCACCGTACTTGGTAAAATCTTTTAAAAATTATTTACGTTGGAAAAATCTTAAGAGATAACAGAAGTCATATGTTGTTGTGTATCAACAACACGATATATAAGAGGTGAGATAAATAGAAAATAAATATTACTTGTAACGTAGCTTTAGTTATATCAAATACAACAATTGTCTTGCATTCTATACTACACGTTTTGTAATGACTGCTTTCATAAAATACCAACCGTATTTGCCAAAAGATCGTGTAATCAACTTAACATTGCCCGATCTTCTAGTATGTACTATATGTGATGGAATTGCTTGGTTGCCAGTAGCTTGTAGAAACTGTGAGAAACCATTTTGTTTACCTTGCATTGAAACTTGGAAAACAGAAAGAGAAGACTTGATTACTTGTCCACACAGTTGTTCAGAATTTATTCAACGAGCATGTCCTCCGTCGATTATTCATATTTTAAATACGTTACAAGTAACCTGTCGTTATAAAACAAACGGATGTGCAGAGACGCTGTCTTACAATAATCTAGAAAAGCATGAAAAAGGATGTGGTTATCGTTTAATGACATGCTCTGGATGCGACGAAAAAATCGTTCAAAAAGATTTTCAAGAGCATGAGAATAATTGTGCATTAGTGTTATTAACATGTAAGGAATGTATGAGTGTTTATCAACGACATCAACAAGATCAACACACTGAAATTACATGTTTACGTGTACAATTACATCAACTTCGAGATCGAATGACACAAAAAGAGAAAGACTATAATGATAAACAACATGCACTTGAAAGTCAAGTAAATGATCTTAATCAAATTCTCGCACAAATTAGGTAAATAAAAAAAAATTTATATGTTTTTTACTATAGATTTCTTTTTTTTCTTTTTAGTATATAAAATTCTACAAATGCTACTTTAACTTCAAATTTTTAAAAACATTGCTTTTAAATATATGTATATAATATTTTACTCTTGAAATAAAATATTAAAATTATTCTTTTTTTTTTCGTAATATTATGACCACGTGCGTCATCTGTTTGAAAGTGTATAGAACAGAAACAAGGCAACACGCATAGCCTTCATTCTTTTTCTTTTCTTGTGTAAGAAAAAACACGTCATAAATGAATTGTGTAATTACATTTTTTATATATGCATTCGTTTCTCGATGAATAAACGTAAAAGTTAAAAAATAATGGATGAATTCGAAGGTTATGGTAAGATAGGTGAAAGTAGTAGTAATTGGATTTTAGAAAAATCTGATAATACAACGTTTAAACGAACATTATGGTGTGTTACAGAGAAAATTCATGGTGCAAATTTTTGTTTCTTCTGTGATGATGACGGTCAACGTGTTCGTTGTGGAAAACGAACAAGTTTATTATCAGATACAGATGATTTTTTTGGTTATAAACAACGATTATTCAATGAAATTGTTCCTAGAATTCAACAATTGTATCAATTTGTTAAAAATACTTATCCAAATCTAAATAAATTGTATATATTTGGTGAATTATTTGGTGGCTCTTATCCACATCCAGATGTACCAAAATTACCTAATATAAATGCTGTTCAAACTGGAATTTGGTATTGTCCTGATATTGAATTTTGTGCATTTGATTTAGCTATTGTTAGTAATGATAAACAAATTTATCTAGATTATGAATATGCTATAACTGCTTTTCAAAATGTAAATTTATTTTATGCTGAACCATTATTTATTGGTAAATATGAAGAAGCTCTTGATTTTAAACTAGGTTTTAATTCTACCATACCAAACCGACTTGGACTTCCAAGTCTAATCGATGCAAATAAAGCAGAAGGAATTGTAATTAAACCAATGCATGAAATTTTAGTTAAGACAACTAAAGGTGTTCATGTACGTGCAATTGTTAAAAAGAAAATTGAAGAATTTTCTGAAGATAAATATGGTCAAGCACAAAAACAAGAATTAAAAACTGATGGTGAACTTTCAAATATTGATCTATTAAGATTTGAAATTGATGCTTTAGTTACTGATAATCGTTTAAATAATGCACTTAGTAAAATTGGACATGTCACTGCGAATGAAAAAGATAAATTAAAAGAATTATTAAATCTTTATATAAAAGATATTCTTGATCAATTATATGAAAATGGAAATGAAGAAATGTGGAACAATCTTTCATCGAACGATCGAAATATATTAACAGAAGAATTAAATCAAAATGCTAAAAGAATTATTATAAAATATTTAAAAAGAAATAAATAATGTCAGATTATTTATTGATTTCATTATTTTATTTTATATATGATAGATGAATTTTTAAAGGGAAAATAAAATGTAAGTTCATCATCTTCGTATATATTTCAATGTTATGAAATAAATTAATAATCAAAATGAACACGATTTCGACATGTTTGATCAATTGCATTTGTAATAATAAAGTCATTCAAACGTATTTCACATAAATTAGCAATTGTCCATAATTTATTAAGAACAAATTCATTCTAAAGAATATATAATTATTTTAAATATGTAAAAAAAAAAGATTTTATTCAAACTTGTAGATCAAAACATTTTTCATGTATATATTGAGTGACTGTTTTATAGCAATTATATTGAGTGAGTTTCATTCGTTTTTGTGTTATTTCTTTAACAGAATAATCGTTATTATTGGATAATGCTACTGATACAATCTGTTGAATATGATGTTGAATGATATTTCGATCCTAAATATTAGATAAAAATATTATAAGGTATTGAAGTGGTTCTTGTCTACTTGCATTAAGTGTTTGAGAAAGTTCTTTTTGTAATCGTTGTTGTTCAGTTGAATTCTGTTTACTTGCTGCTAAACGATGAGCGAGGATCGAAATACGAACATTTTCCATTGGAACAGCATCACGCTAAAAGATAGGATAAAATATACATATATCTATATCGATATGATATCTACTTTGAGTTGAGTATAATGATGATTTAAAAATGTATGACGTGTATTTTCTTTCAAATATTGTTGTTCATTACCTTGAAATTCATCGATATGATGAGTTTTACCTAGTTGCTAAACATAGACAAATATATATGTTTTACAAACATCAATAATTTTTTTTCTTACAAGATCACCGTATTGCATAACATGACTTTCATGTGTTTTTTTCTTTGTTACCAAATATTGATCATATAACGTTTCTTTATTAAATTTTTTTTCATCAGAATTTTCCATCCAAGCAACAGAATAACAATCACCTAAATAAGTCGAAAGTTTATCATCAAGATAACATGCATAAGATGATTCTTCAGCATTTGATGCAGTTGTGGCATAAATATTAATATTATTTGGTAAGATGTTTTCCAACATTGAACCTGATTCACATGCTTCAATATAAATAGCCATCTATATATTTATAATATGAATTACACATAGAACAAAAAAAACTAAATTTCAACTAACTTGTTTATATTTTTTTCCATTATACATTTTTGTAATTGTGGCATTTAAATCTGTGGCATAAAGCTAGAAAAATGAGCACATATACATTAGTTCTTTTTATTGAAACGATCAATATCAAACATACTACACTACTTGGAAAAGCAACCAAACCTGTGATGAACAATATGAAGAAATATAAAAAATAAATGTAAAAGATTTTACCGGTAGCACCATGATCAGTAAAATAGAGAAAGACATTATCATTAGGACCACTATAAAAAAAATTAGAAAATTGTTCGATAGATGTATCGTTCTTTTTTACCTTTCGATAACTTTACCGCTGCCTATACCTTGCATTGCTGCTTTATCACCAAGTAATATATTAATAAAATTTTGTGGTGTGACAGTCTGTGAGAAGAGACAAATTCATATTCGAAATTAATAATTTTTATTGACCTTACCGCGCCTGTATAATCTTTAGGAACTCCATGGTAAACATCTTGACCACGTGGGTGATTGATAATAATACCTTTAGTTGGATTTCTAAAGAAAGAAAAAATAGATTAAATATTGAATAGCTCAAAAATATCCTTAAAATTTACGCTGGATTTTGAGCTAAATCATCATACATCATAACAACAATATTCGAGTCTGGGATACCATTTTTATGTAAGATTTGATAAGCATGACAGACATCTGCTTGATGTCGATAATTGTACCATCCGTTAGAACCAGCAACTAATAATGCCCAATTAGCTGCTTGAGTTATACTAGCAGTAAACAACACAATACTAGCTATTAGGTAAAAAGGATTTGGACGCATTCTATACTAGTGTCTATATCGATGTTTAATGTTAGAATATAAAAATGATAAGAAACATGATGTCTTCGCATTATAACTTATCTATAAAGTCTCGCATAGCAACTCAAAAGAGTTGGTAAATATTGAGAAGAAATATATTATATACTTTGAATTGAAGAATAGGTAATGAAGAAGAAAAGTTTGTATGTTTGAAGACATCACACAGATAAAAAAAGCAAATATTGTATTTGTAATAAAATTTATGTTGGTAAAAATTCAACTTAATTACGCATTAATAATAAAGAAATATATTATTAATAAAATTTATTGATGACCGTATATATATATATATAAAATACGAGAAGAAGAGATGCACTTATCGCTTTTTTCTCAACAAGATAAATATAAACTATTGTCTTAGTTACTGAATATACACGACGAATGTCTATTAGTTGCCCCAAATGAAAACTCTCCATTTGGGGATAGATTTGTGAAAACCATTTTAGGGCAAATGATAACCTGCCATTGGAATCAATGATATAACTGGTTTAAATGTTACACTAGGAAAAGAACAATTAATTCTTATTAATTTAATATCAAATCATAATTTAGTTTTTTACATACAAACAAAATATGATCGTGTATCAGAATTTCTTGGTTATATAGCTAAACTTAAACAAAAATCGTATGAAAATTATAGATATTTATTTTCTATATTTTTTTTGTTAAAGATCGAAGTTCGTTGTCAATGTACAACGTTATATTTCAGCTAATTTTGGTAGATATAAATATATTATTACTATTATTTGGAATCACATAGAAAAAGTTGAATTTCGTAAAAGTTCCATCAATAATATATCATTAATGTTACATGATACTATATAATATTCTATCATATTTTTATTTATCCTAAAATTCTTTTTCATGTTGCACTTGTAACGGTAATATGATGTGATATTTCTTGAATAAATAAATAAATTAATTAATAACATTATCAGTTGCCAATGCAATATCTAGCCATAAAACTGTTACTATTAACAGAATATAATATAATCATGTTTTACTTGTAAAAATGCAATTCGTAAGTCTACTGTAGCATAAAATTATATTTCAATGATGTTATTTATTTCAAGTCTTCGATAAACATGAATATAAACTTCTCTTGTTCTTAGCTCTAAAATTAAAATGCTTTACAGAAAAAATCGCTTCGTGGAATAAAAGAGTGAAATAATATATCGTTCGAGTTTTATTCAGTTTAATATACACAACATTTTATGTTATATTTGTAGTTAATCGGTTTTGAAAAGATTCACATATAAATCATATAACTATCAGATCATTATTTATATTACTTATATAAAGAATAAATACAGATTTAAAACATTAGACTTTTATTTATTGAATATAATTAAGTTTATAAGATACATCATTTGAATTTAAAAAAGAACAAATGTTATCACAGCTCGGTTAATAGTGATTATAATGTTTCATAAATTGTATTTTTCAGAACTGGTAAGTTTATTATTGTTTCCATCATCGCCACCCATGGTTAATACAAAAGTATTTGTTAAAATAGTTTGATGAGAATATCTTCCATGATTCAACATCAGTGTATTTGACCAAGTTCTTGTTACAGGATCATAGAATTCACATACGAGTGGATATGTATTTGTATATACTATATTCTGTTACTGCTCTAATGCTCATATCATAATGTACATGTGTTTTACACTAATATCATATATTTTCAAGCATAGTTTCAGTTAGAGTTTAGTAAGAATAGCATATACTTCGGTCTGATCAAAAGTTCTTACACTTTAAAAAAAAAATAAAAAGATAAGGAGATATTTTTAATTTAATTTTATCAAATATTGAGGGTAGTTGCCAGTTTTATTTATATCAAGTTCGATCCTTTCTAACGATTTGTCAAAAGTTTTTTTGAAGTCTTTTTCGGAACAAATTTTAGATACCTTGGAAACCGCATAAATTAATCATATTTCATTTCTTTTAAAAATTTAGCAAAATTTTGTTCAATCATGCCACTTGCGTTCTAGCATTACTAGTGATAGGATTTGGATAGAAGGGGTGGGTGTTTATCTTTTCTTGAGTCTTATCCCACCCACACATCGACACACACCCTCACCAATTCCAACTGATTCAAAAAACTGGAATTGGTGCATACTGACTTTAAACTACGTTTAATAGACTTAAAAATCCAGATGTAGATTTATTTTTTCCTTATAATTAATCCTGAGTCTCGAAATATCCTTGAGAAAATGTATATGCTCCTTTCTTAAAGTTAACTTAAGCGAGATTGATTGGTCTGACTGAATCATATTGCCTTAATAATAAAATGAAAATAAATTTAGAAAAAATACATTATAATAAAAGGAAGGAAGGAAGTATTATGACTAAAAAGTAATTATGCAATCAAGATAATAAGAAGACATGTATTTGATTCAATTCTTATCACGAATGTTTTTTTTATAGCTTCAGTGGACATATACAATATGAGACTGCTTTTTGTATGATTAAAACTGATTTAAGGCGTTCACGCAAAATGTTTTTTTGACTGCTACGTATTTCTTACATAATAAATACAATTATCTAACAATGGTATTCAGTAGAATCAAAAATAAAAGAAAAATAACTTTTGAGAGGTAACTTTTATTGTAGTATATTACTGAACGTAGCAACAACAACTAATATTTATTTTTCACAATTAACTACTATACACACAATAATAAAGATAATCACTTCGTTATTCACTTCATGGAAACAGCATCAATACAGTTTCTGTTTGGTTTTGTTCTTGTAAGTTAGATGTCACCGATTATTTCAATACCTGGTGCAATTTGATTATTACCCCGTTTGTTCGTCCATTGTTGGTATTGCTTTATACAAGCATTTGAAATTACGAAAATGAGTTGTTGTCGAAATCGTTTTGAAACACAAGAATAAATATAGAAAGAACCCTATATTATTTCAAAAATAAATATGATTTCTATTTTTTTACAAGTAAAAATACTTACAGCATAACTTGAATAAAGGATTAAAACTAAAATAGTATAGATAAGATTATTACGTGCTATTTGTTCTCGCTCATTAGTAGTTTGATTAAGTAAATAAATAAAATAAATAATGTAAGGTAATGTAGTGATTGTAACAAATACAACATGAACAAGTGTCATTACTGTCAATTGTCGATCTCGACTCAAACGTACAATATTTATTTGTCGACTAATTAATGTACGAGCATTATAAAAAGCTAATAGAGAAAATGTAATCATTGTAGTTAAAGGTAGAACTCCATAAAGTATTGGCAATTGAAAACGATTGACATACGTTGCAAAATTTGAATTAATAATCATACATATTCCAAAAGGTGCATCCCAATAGATGAGAGAACAAGTACTATATAAGCCCCAAAAAATTCCAGTAATGAATATACAACGTTGAGCAAGTCGTAAATTACTGAAACGTCTATAGTGACTCATGGATAAGAATTGATCAATTGTTGCTAAACATACATACGTAGTTGATACCAAGTTACACCATACAGATATATATATTTGTATTTTACAAACCCACGATGTTTTTTTAATATCAGTAGAAAAACCATCACTTAGAACACGGACGAACAATGCTATTAGCAATTGAATGATATTAACTACTGAAACAGCAGTCAGATAAAATGCACACGTTGTTTCTCGAAATGTTTTCAGCGTTGTAAAAATTATAATATTAAATATTCCACCAATAACACCTAAGATCATAATTGACAAACCAAAATAGATATTAACTTGTCGTGTTGCGAAAATTAATATTTCATGAGTTGACATTATTTTGATTAATTATGAAATAAAATTTTATTTCTTCAAATGTTAACTGATATAGATCTGAAACAACAAAAAAAATTATTTTATATGAATATACGTTAATTTAAGTAAATATGAACGCTTTGCTACACTTTCATGATTTACTATTAATGAGTTTATGCGTGTAGGATAATCGACTTTATGATTGAAAAACAAAAAAGAAATTGCGAACATAAAATTACAAACTCTTTTATATTTTAAATTGCCATCTAATTCCATTTTCTTCTTTTTTATTGTCATAATCCTCTATCATCTTCTGAGAATCATTAATTAGCTCAGAAAAAAAACATGCAATAAATTAATTAGTTAGTAGAATATAGATTATTATAGATAATAGACTCATCGTCTGTTATTAAACTATTTTTTACAGCAGAAAGATTTACTACAACAAACGCATTAATGTTTATAATGTTCAGAGAATCGTCCATTATTGCATGTAGGTACGCTAGTGCGTGAATATATATGATATTTAAAAAGAACATCCACATCCACCATCAAGATGATTAATACATATGAAATAGGATAACAATTTTTATGCAAGTTCTATATCTGTACGGAATGCTTCTGCATTTTCTAGGTTGATTTGATTATTGAGAGTGTGAGTGGGTGTGACTGTAGGTATTATATTTAGTTGTAATTAACACATGCATCCGCACCCACACCCACTCCACCCATACCCTGAAGATTCGTATTGAATAAGCATATTTGTATGAAATACAAATGAATCATATTATCCGAATCGAATCGAATGAAGACGGAAAATGTTAAACTAGTAAAATACTTCAATAACGATAATATTTTAACATTTTATGGCTAATCATATATCTTTCATGAAAACACAACAATACTATTTTGTATAATCTCGCATGTTTTATTGAAAGATTCAGAAATTTATATCTGTACGCGAGAATGCATCCTATTCCGCGATGTTGAACATTGGAGGAATCAGTTCCGCACCGGAATCGATTCCGTCCAATTCCGGGAACTCGATCGACACACAACATAAGACACCCAGTCAAGATTGATCGAGTTCGACCGATTCCAGAATTGCACGGAATTCCCACCGATTCCGCAATTGCACGGAATTCCTACCGATTCCGGAATTGCGGGAATTGGTTCCGATTCCGGAATTCCGTACCGGAATCACACCATCCACCTCACCCACATTTATTGTGTTGTGTTGATAAGTTATCCCGTTTGAATACGATCCAATTCCGTTACGGAATTCCGGGAATTGCATCAAGGCGGAATTCAGTGGAATTGGACGGAATTCCTGGGAATTCCTACCGATTCCCACCAATTCCGGAATTGCGTAAACTACTTCTAATTACGGAATAACACGGAATTCCTACCAATTCCCGCCAATTCCCACCGATTCCGGAATTGCGGGAATTGGTTCCGATTCCGGAATTCCGCACCGGAATCACACCATCCACCTCACCCACATTTATTGTGTTGTACTGATAAGTTATCACACCATCCACCTCACCCACATTTGTTGTGTTGTGCTGATAAGTTATCCCGTTTGAATACGATCCAATTCCGTTACGGAATTCCGGGAATTGCATCAAGATGGAATTCAGTGGAATTGGACGGAATTCCTGGGAATTCCTACGGATTCCCACCAATTCCGGAATTGCGTAAACTACTTCTAATTACGGAATTACATGGAATTCCTACCGATTCCGGAATTCCTACCAATTCCGGAATTATACGGAATTCCTACCAATGCCGGAATTAGACGGAACTCGATCAATTTTCGAGTGGGTATCGGATATTATGTGTCGATCGAGTTCCCGGAATTGAAAAGAATCGATTCCGGAGCGGAACTGGTTCCTGAAATGTTCAACATTGCGGAATAGGATGACTGCTCCTGTACGCATGTTTACCAAATGCACTTTTATGTGTAAATTGTTGTTTTGTTTTTATATGCAAAATATGAAAATGTTTCGTCAAGCTCGCATGATGATGCATGAAATATGACGAGTTGAAAAATATTCTTTATAGCAATGCATATTTGAAGACATTTCTTGCAAACATACGTATGTTTTAATTTTTGTAGCTGACTCAGGTAACAGTAAATAGTCATATTAATTCATCGATAGCGCTATTCTAGGACTAAAATACGTGTTTTTGTGTTTTTCCTGTCGATAGAAGCAAGAATTTAAGTCAACATTCTCATTAACTCTATTAGAACTTCTTTAATCTATTTAAAAAAACTAGGTTGAATATGACACAAAGAACTGAATGAAGGATATCTAATCATTTGAAAAATTATTTTTCATAGCTAAAAAAACCACTTTCTATAATATGGGCACACGGTCTAAAGTGTACAATGAATTATTTGTCTTTTATTGCTCTAACGATTGATTCGACTATTTTTCAAATCAACTTGCACGATGATGTGCGCCAGTTGTAAAATACGATGTGCCAAGTAGAAATCGATGAGCTTTATCAATTGGTAGAACTCATCGTTTCTATTTAGCACATCACATTTTACAACTGGCACACGTCGTTGTGCAAGTTGATTTCAAAAATAGTCGCATCGGTCGTTAACTTCCCTTACATCTTTTTTTATGATGATTCAGAATAGCGACAAAGAAAGAGGAAGAATGATCACACCCATAGCGAATGAAGGAAGAAGTGTGATAATTTAATTTATCATGAAAAAATAACCATGTGCAGTGAACATTAGAAGTTTCACATATTACTATTTTATAACATTAATAGTAATGTAGCTAGAAAGAACTTATTTGATAGCAGTTTCCGACCTTAATTTTAATTACATATTGTTATGTATATCTATTCTTCAAATCCGCAACATGATAAAACTATATACTCACTTCACATTTCCCATGTGACCTTTTTCATTAGCTAAAAGTTTAATTGAATGATAACTAGACATATGAGAAACTAAGTGTTTTTTAAGCTCCAACCTAGAAAAAGCTATTACACGATACACTACTATTAAGAAAAATTTGAATATCGTTGTCCTTTGATATAATTAACCGACGACTACAGTTTTTTGTCACTTTTCAAAAATTGTATTTTAATTGGTATGACTTATGAGATAATTCACTTAAAATTTTACAATATTTAACTGTAAGTTTTATTTTCATTACAGATAAGTTTTTCTTTATAGTCTCATCGACATTGTAGTTATATATGTACTATTAATTCGATCTATGTAGAATACAGATAAACACAGAATCAATGCGCGTTAAGATAAGAAGTTTTTAGAAGAGTCAGATTAGCTTACGCATGATATAGATGCAATGATCTTTTTTTACTTAGTCATACGTTTCATTGTCACCATCAATAGAGAAATAAGTAGAGAATAGAGTGAATGAGTGACATATAACATGCAATGTACTCAAGTAGTAGCATAAAACACGATACTTTTCTATTATCTTTATATTGAGAATATTTATTCATTTTCGATTAAATTTTCTATGTAGAGTATATTCTATTCAAATTTCAGTCTCAGTTTTTTTAATTTAGTTTGTATTGCATTGCATATTTATCGATCTCAATAGATGAATTGAATGTTTAAAGATCAATTCTAAAACTCATACCATTGTCATTTTGTTCAATCTTCAAAGTTTACATGTATAATCGTCGGAATATTATTCGATGGTCACTTGTCATTATATTAATCGTACTAGTTTTTTGGCAAGTATGGTTGATAGTTATAACAGTCTATAATCTTCTACTCGGTATATCTGATAATACATCATTTCATCCGATGAACTTATCACATCCGAAAATACCACCAATTATTCATCAAATATGGAGAACGACGAATCTATCGAGTTATCCAATAAGTGCATCATATGTCAAATGGCAAAAGATGTATCCAGATTATACAGTTCGTTTATGGACAGATGTTGATCTTGTTCAATTAATTTCATCAAAAGAATATTCTTATTTATTAGAAACATATCGATCATATCCATTCGATATTCAACGTGCTGATTTAGCTCGATTAATTGTTCTTCATTATCAAGGAGGAATCTATGCTGATCTAGATGTATTTCCTCGTAATCGGTCAATTGAAAAACTTCGATCATCGGGTGCTTCTTTTATCGTTCCTCGATCATCATCAGATTCTACTGTAATCAATCATATTCTTATTAGTGAACAACATTCGAAGATTGTCGATTATCTTCTGCATAATGTTTCTCCTATCTTATTTTATCAACGTATCTTTCTCATTCCTTATCTACAAGTCTTTTCCACAGGTTCAGTCTTTTTGACTCGAACTCTTGAACAATGGATGAAATCTTCACTGTATCAAAACAATTTATTGTGGATTCTATCATCGAAACAAGTGTCTTCGTATGTTGGTCATAATGCTGGTCGATCTTGGCATTCATTTGATGGATATCTTTTTAACTTTATTAATGATCTACCGGAGGTGATTCAATATACGATTCTTAGTTTTGTTGTTTTGTTTTCTTCTACTTTTTTTGTATTATTTTTCTTTTTTTTAAGATTTCGTAGGCAAAGTCCTGCTGATATTTGGGTAGCAAGAAGGCTATACCTGTACTAAATTCTTTTTTCAACAAGTATGTATCATAACAAAAGACGATTGTAAAGATTCATCAATTACATCGGATGTATAATTAGTATAAGATACTAATAGGAAATGAGAAAGACTTTTGTAGTCTGTACCTTAAACTGATTTAATTGTAGAACAAAGACAAGGGAAATAATTTCTTCTTTAGCAACATGAAAAAATAAAAATAATTCACACTAAAGCAAGATTATTTATTAAAATTTATTATTATAAAAAAAAATAAAAAATGTTAATCTAAGTCAACATCAAACTTTTGTACTCTATTATTGTCCCAATCGACGATATAAAGATTACCTTGTTGATCAAATGATAAACCTTTGGGAAAATGAAGTTGATTTGATTGTTTTCCTTGACCATTTCCACCAACAACAATACTACCTTCTTCAGATCCTTTGGACCAACGCATTATTCGTTGATTTCTAGAATCAGCTACATAAATATTACCCGAATGATCAACAACTACTCCTCTAGGATAAGATAATTGGTTGGAGCTATTTCCTTTACCATGTCCACCAGCAACAACGATACCTTCTTTTGCATTTTTCATCCATTTCATAACACGATGATTTTTTTCATCTGATACATAAACTGTATGATCTTGATCAACAAATATAGAAGTTGGAAGATATAATTGATGAAGATTATGTCCTTCTCCATGACCACCAGCTACTAGAATACTATTCGTATCTCCTATTTTCCATCGTCTTACTTCATTTTTTACTAAATCAGAAACATAAAGATCTCCATTATTATCTATTGCTAAACCGTAACAATCAATATCAAATATAATTGTTTGTCCATGTGTAGTATCTTGACGACACCATCGTACTACTCGTCTATTTCTACTATCACAAATGATAAGAGAATCATTCTTTTTATCAACAATTACATCTGCTGGATAATCTAATTGATCAATTCGATTTCCTTGTCCATTTCCACCTGCAACAATTTGACCAATCGTTGAATCGAATTTCAATTCAACAACACGATGATTATTAGAATCAGAAATATAAATCTTATGATCATCATCATCAATATAAATACTTTCTGGCCAATCAAGTTGAGCTAAACCATCACCTTTACCATGTCCACCAATTATAGTACTTCCATTGTTTATCCATTTAGTATTCTTATCAATTTTTACTGGAGAATATGTTTGTCCTATAATGTAAACAAATCATTTAATAATAGACTTTTAATTTAATATTACATATAGATAATACTTACCACTCAAATTTAATTCAGTGAGCATTCTTTTGAACGGCTTTGTATCTTTTGGAAGTGTTGGTTCAAAATAACGGATGTTTTTAGATGGTACTTCTCGTAATTGATTGATCAAATCTTGATATAATTTTGGATTATAATCAAGAAAAACATCACTATTTATTGTTTTCGAAGGTAGACTACTAGTATTAAATGTAGAATTTATAACTTGAGTAAATGTTGAACGATGATTTGTAATTATTTCACCACCAACATTAAAAGTTAAAATATTCTTTTCTTTTGATGATAAAAATTGATCAAGGCCTAATTTTCGAAGCATTTTTATAAAAGGTTCTACAAGTGAAGAGTCTGAAGGTAAATACAAATGAATTGGATGATTTGTATCTAATACTTGTAATTGATCAATTAGATGACGAAAAAGAATAGGATTAAAATCAAAAAAGAGATTTTTATTTTGATCTAATGATAATTTATGTTCCCATCTACCATTGAATATTGTTGCAAGAGTTGATTTTGAAATACGAGTAAGTGTTTGACGAGTAGTCATTATGATTTCACCACCAACATTGAGTTGAATAACATCATGATCTTTAACAGATTTCTGTAATTGTTTCTTTTCTTCTTCAAAATTTTGTCGATCAATTTTAAATTGTTGTTGACCTTTTTTTAAATCATCTTCTAATTTTCGAATTTCTGAAACAGCTTTTTCATGTTTCAATTGTACAGCTGTTAATTCAATAGAATTTGTCGAAGAAATATTGTAATTGATTAGTATTACAATAAATAAAATGAACTATTTTTAATATAAACATATTCTTTTTTACTTATATTCTTTCAAGATGTTATTCAGTACTTACTATACGTCGTAGAAACCACATATTTTTGTCTATATATAAAAATAAATTATTGTTTTTACTTCTTACAATACACACATATATATATATATATATATATATATTGAAGAGAGATAGGTGTTGTTTTTCCTATCGTTGATAAGCGTTGTCATCAATAGTATCCATTATATATGCTTTTATCTTTGTACGACAAACATTTGAGATAATGAGGTAGAAGGGCAAAATAAAAAATAGAAAGAGAATATACGTAAGGATAACCACAAATAATTAGTATAACCGCAAAATATTTTTTTATATGGTTATACAAACATTGATATAGGTCATCAAAGTGAAATTTGATCTTAGTTTTTAAGTTATTTATATTAATTATTATGTTAAAATAATTTAATTTCCAATAATAGGAGAAATAGAAAATATTACACACACTTTTATTAATTTTATTAAAGTCAACTAATATTTTCTAAAATATTTATGTATTCTTATTTTTCAATATTTTGTTAGAATACTTATGTGCAGTTTTGTTAACTGTTGCGTCTAACTGTATTTATAAACGACAAATTTCTATGTTGGATTTATTTTTATGATGAATAGAGAGAATAATTTCGGACGGATCCAGATTTTTAATAGAGAATTTATTATTCATGACGATTCAACACGAGTAGATAATTTGATGTACCGATTACGTAGTATACAATTTCAGATCTTCATAAACATTGTCAAATAGAAATGTTTAGTTGATTTTCAAGTGAACACTTTGAAGAAAATAGCTATGTGGGACAAAAGAACATTTGAATTTTGCTCAAACTAAAACTTGTACTGTAATATCAGATATATTACTATCTTTTTTTTTTAATGATTTGATGCTTCTTAAAAAGATAAACGGATAGTATATACGTATGTATTTATTAATTGTTTAAATTATTTAATTAAGAGAATTTATAAGAGATTATGTTGTAAAACAGCCATCATACGAGGTAAAACATCAATAAGCGCTGCATTCCAACATGCCCATGTATGTCCTCCATCGCAATCATAACCGATTGATTGTCCATTTCCATAATCATTGAAATAAACTGGAATTTTTAACGACATCAACGTATCACGTAAATAATAACTACTATCGCGTAGTAACAATTCCAGATCACCAGTATTACCTGTGTAGAGTGCTACAGATACGTCACGTAATTTTGCAGCATAAGTAATTGGATTTTGAGCAAACCATTCATTAGAGCTAAGTGATTCATTAGGATAACCAAATGGACCTACAAGTGGTTTATCATCAATAGGTACGTCATTAAGAATTTCATTTTGTATATCATTATTAAGTAGATTTAAAACACCAGAAAAACTTGCTGCATAAATAAAATTATTGGAATATAATTGAGCATAACGAATAGCACCGAATCCACCCATTGAAAGACCAGCTATAGCACGACCTTGTTTTTTAGATATTGTTCGTAAATTAAAATCAATCCAAGGTACTAATTGTTCCATATGATATGTACGCCAATTTTGTGGAGTATAATTGCCAGGTATAATCCAGTTTGTGTACCAACCGAAGGAATCACCATTTGGCATAACAGTAATTAATGATACATTACCACAGATGTCTTGAACTTTACCTTGTGTTGTCCAATCTTCAGAACCACCAGGTGAACCATGTAATAAATATAGAACAGGGTAGTGACGATTATTATCACTAGTTGTATAATCAGATGGAATAAGTATACGAATTTTCTGTTCGCCACGTACTTCGTCTGATGATACAACTATTTCATAGAGTTGTTTATCTAGCTGAGATACCGAATATACCGTAAGTCCAAAACCAGATATAAAATTAAGTGTATTACTAATTGTGTAATTTATCAAAGTGATGAGAACGAGCGATAATCCGAAAAATATGCAATGACAATTCATTTTAATTTTGTTTTATTTCTACCAGCTAAACATACATATATACTGTGACATAGTTATATCTTTCTCTTTCATATATTTCTTTCTTTCTTTCTATCTCGTGTATCTCTTTCTTTCTCTTTCGTACATAAAAGATACTTTTGTTCTTATGTGACGTTTCTGGACCTCGATCCATTGTCAGTCTTTCTTCATGAGCTTAATAAAGAGAAGAAACTACTCGACGAATTCTTCTCTTTATTCATTTCACATATATATACTCGTGTTTTTTTTTGAATAAAACCACCGATTTCCTTCATCGTTCACTTCATCTTATTACACTATTTTAACTTGTATATATCGACATTATTCCTAAGTAAATGATAGTGATCGTATAATTCTTTAATCAATTCATATACTGATCCTTTGCATACATCTGATTTAAATATTATATTTTTTTTATTTTCATTTAAATAGTATTATAAATCTCTGATTGACATTTATGTTTGATAAATTGATAGGATGGGTTTTAAATATATAAAAGAATATCTATATTGTAGTCAAAATTCAAATATTTTTTTCATAGGTAAAAAACAGTAAAATGTTTGCGTGTTAGTCGATTTCTCTTTCCTTCCTTTTTCTGTTAACTAAAGTTATTTTCACAACTAAGAAAATTAGGTCAGAACAAAGAACAGCTGTTATATACGATGAATGATTAATCGAGTAAGACAAAGAAAAGAGAAAGAAAATTCTAGTACGGAGTTGTTGTGAAAATAAGTTGGTAATAGATGGTCACACATCGTAAAAACTAAAGAAGTTGGATACAACGATCGTTCAAGTTGGTGATAATAAGAAAATGTTTTCTGCTCTACTAAATGTCATTCACAAAAAGGGGTGGATGCTTAAACATGGACTAAATAAAATTAAAACAAAACTGTGCACACTTTAATCGTTTGTCTTTTTTTGCGTTCTTCGATCTATGAAAAAAATATTTGAATTAATTCAAGTATAAGTTGCTTTAGTCTGTCCAGTACAAGTATTGTAAAACGAAAATTAATCTTTAACCAAGGAAAAAATATTTAAAATTATATTCACTATTTTTCGTTTTTGATTTATATAACGAAATTTTTATTAGAAATCAATAAGTACAATTGATATCAATAATATATTTGTTTTTTTTTCAAACGACAACATAATACTTTTTTCATTGCTCTTAACCATTGATTTCTAAATACATTTGATGAACACATGTAAACCAAAAAACTTGTATAATTACTCCAAAAGAGTAAATGAACAATTTCATTAACTAAATTTTCTTTTGCTTCATCCATCAATGATTTCGATTTTTTTAAAGTGAAAATCCAATAACAACTAAATATAGAATATGGAATAGAAGTAAAAAGTGATTTAATTGATTGAAATATAAGCATCCATGTTAATTGTTTATTAATTCGTCGAACACGAATTGATTTTGTTTGTGATCTTTGATGAAGATTACGTCCATTACAATATGTAAGAAAACCAAAAATCGCCATAGTAACTGGTGGAATAAATCCATTAAATAAACAAACATATATTATTTGTATTATAACACCATATGAATATCGACATGAAATCGAACAAATTAATTGTTCATTATATGATAAATGACGACCATATTGTGAACAGAATATAATTGGAATGGATGCAATTACCCAAAAAAATATTATGGTAATTATACATCGAATAATGATTGTACGATTACTAAATTTCCATCGTGAACTCTGTCTTGAACTCATCATATATCGATTTATAAACGCTAATATTGTAAGTGAAGCTGAGATAATAGTTAATACATATACAAGATAATTTTTTATCTTACAGACTATTATTGATCTATTAGACCAGTGATAATGAAAACCATAATGAAGAATATTTGATAACAAACCAATATTTAAATGAATAAAATCACAGAATGAAGCTATCCATAGATAAAGTGAACAAGCTCGACGTTGAAATGATTGTTGTAAAAAAGTTAACATATTCATTATAGTACCACAAAGACATAGAACATATAACGAACTACCTACATATTGAGTAAGATATTGAGAAATAAAATCATATTTTTGAGTATTATTATAATCTGTTTCATTTGACATTCTATGAGAAAATAAATGAAAACATGATTAATTAAATTTTACAACTGAACGTTGAATCTATTATGATAAGGATGTTTTTTTCTACCATCTTCTCATTATTTCAGGAAGAGAAAAAAAAAGAATGTAAGAGATATGATAGATAATTTATAAGAATAATTTTTGAAATATTCTAACCAAAAACAATTATAGAACTTTTCCTTCAATGAATCGTTTTACTACTTACTTATTATGAAAAAGAAAGAAAAATGAGTATAGTATGTGACTATAGTTTTTAAAAATTCTTTTCTTTTATGTTGATTCTGATCCTATATGTCTGCTTAGTAAGCATATATAATTATTGGGGAAAAAGTCAGGCTTTGAGTTTCCTAGATAAGTATTAATTTATAATGTTATTGCTATTCTTCAAATAACTTTATTTATAGCTGGTAAAAATAAAGTCTCGTCGAGTTCATTTAACTTGACATATTTAAAAAAGCAGTAAAATTTATTATCCTAAATATATTATTGAAAAAGAAAACTATTTGACATATGCTTAGAAAAGATGATTACTTTATTTGACGATTATAATGGTAAAAAACATTAGTATCCTTTTTTTACACAAAATGAAAGACGAGATATAATTTTTGAACCTATTATTAGTTACTACGAACTTGATGTGATAAAGATAATACGTTGCTCCATGAGAAAAAAAATCTTTTTAATAATGTTCTCGTGAACTTATAATAAAACGAGATTGTTCTCTATTTTCTTGAATTTACGTAAAAATATTACTGCAATGGAAATCATCTATGACAAACAACTCAAGATATTCTCAATGAAAATGTTGGATCAGTACAAAATGATGCTATTTATATATTTTTTCTCAAAATATATGTTAATTAAATGACCTTATAATTCATAGCGTCAACCATATGTAATGCAACTGAAGATCATGAGGGCATTCAAAGTCATAAATAGTACTTTTTTTTAGCAATAAATACATACATTTTTTTATGAACTATGCCATTGTATTAAACTAATTCAAAAAAAATAATGTTAGAAGACACGTAATTTACTTTTTATTTCAATAGTTCTATCAAAAACAAGATTTATTTCAAAGGTTGTAATAATAAAAAATATGCTATTATATTTAATAAAAATGGATGAGACAGATCAAGAATATAATTCTTTTGTTAAGGTGTTTGCTATATTGAGATGTGGTGCTATATCATGGCTGAATAAACTCAGTCACTTCTTTTTTTTATATATAATTACAATAATGTGCCATAGGAAACCCATGCTGTTGAATGCATTAATAAAAACGTTCATTTTATAAGTGCTAATATTTCATTATGAGAACCATAAGTTATTCAGTAAAATAACAAGAAAAAAATTTGCACTTTTCTATGTATTTTGACAACTTTTGTTAAGTTTATTATATAAATAAATTGTATGTATATCAATATTCAGAATTCTTGATTGATTTATTGAAATAAGTAGAACTCTATTACAATGAATTCATTATTACTCCGATATACACCTAATTTTCAGTGACTTTCGATAACTTCGAAAGTAAATATCTTTCGATTACAAATTACTTTTTATCTTACTCATGATGAAGACGAAGAAAAATAAACTGCTTAATACATCTCAAGCACCTTTTTTACTAAAACAATACCGTTCATTTGTTCAATTTGATTCAAATTCAATTAATAGACTCAATTTAGTTTTTTCGTATATTGATACTATAAGAAAATTAATAACTTAAAATTTAAAATCCATTTTAATATTATTTTCAGATGATATCTTCTATTACATGATAGATTTAATTTCCGATGAACTCATCGATAAATTTATCTACCAACTTGATATCATGATAGAATCAACATATTGTCTATCATATGTTTTACGAATAAAGAATGTATAATATATTTGATCATTCATTATTTGAAATTCATATATGAACTAATATATAAATATAAGTTTCCCTAATAAGAAAAAGTATAGTTGATTGACGAAATAAAATAAAAAGATTTAAATGAGTTATACATTTTATAATATTATACAACCCATTTATTCATTGTTCATATAAAATATGTCTTCTCGTTTGGTATTTTTATCAGTTATTCTAATCATGTATATTCTGTGCGATTAGATCTTATTGTGCAAATAATCATAGTTCTGAGAGTGAATATCAGTGTAGATGCTTTTTTCATCTCTTATCTATACTCACAAATTCAATAAGAAAACTGTTAACAACCATGCGTAATTTTATTTATATATATTACAAGGCCGTCAAAAATTACTATACATTTGTTTTTCTTACTGCATCACGACAGAACATGATCGTGTGACATGCGTGATAATCTTTGCTGAGTCATACGCAACGCAGAATGTAATTGCACAATATATGCACGATAATATATATTTCTTTTCATTCATCACAAAACATGTTGTTTCTCTTTTTTTCTCTCATTCATGGCTGCTTCAACGTTGTCCGTCGTTACTGATAAACATAATTTTGTACCTATTAATCCAGGTATATTGTACGAGTATCAATACAAATGGTTTACAATTCATATGACCGATGAAGAAACTTTACAATTACTTGCTTCTGATCATCGTAATCGCCAATCATTTCCAATTGAGAAATATCCTTGTCAAGTCTATTTAGTAGACTTTGAATCAACGAATCGTATTCGTGTTTGGTTAAATCAAGATGAAGTAGATGTAGAAAAATGTTCTGATTATATGTATGATAAATATAGTTTCGGTCGAATGAAATCATGTTGGGTTTGCAAATGGATTGATTGGGATGACAATTGGTTAATTGATACAGAAGAAATATTAGATGAAACAGCAATTAATAAACCTAATTTTTATCGATTAGATGGTGATAACGATGTAGAATTTGGTGATGGTGGTTCAGCTTCTCTTGTTTATCCAGTATGGATTCATGAACAACTACCAATTAGTGAAAAACGTCGAAAACGACTTCTTAACGTTTTGTATCAACTTAATGAAGAACGACAAGATTTTCATCCAAGTCCATCACCAGTTGAAGATATTATTGATCCAGATCTACTTCCATATCGACCAGTATCAATATTTGATCAAAATCGATGGATTGAACGACGAAAAAGACAACTTAACAACACAGAACTTAAACAACGTCGTTTCGTACGAGATTTAAGAGAGGGAGCGTATAATGATTTATCCGAGCACGAGAAATTACGTGATACATACCAGTGGGTACCATCAGAATTTATTATTGATAAAGATGGTAAAGTCGATATTCGAACACCGATTATTCATTTACCTGTATTACCTGAATATCGACAAAGTTATGGTGATATTGCAAGAATATTTCATTCAATGTTACCAATGTTTGAAAAACTAAAATTAATTAATCTTAAATCAAATGTATCACAAAAATTACAAGTAATTATCAAAGCACAAAGTTATAATTTAAAAGCAGGTAAGAAAACAAAAAAAGAGTATTTTTTTTTAATAAAATTCTTGTTTTTGTAGGAATGAAATATTCTGGTCGATGGCATACAGAAGGTCAAACAGAAAATATCGTTGCTGTAGGTGTTTACTATTTAGATATTGATGAAGAACTTGAAGGTGGTGCGTTAAAATTTCGTCCAAAATATTCACCTCAGTCATCATATGCCGAGTTGGAGACTGATCATTGTATATCATCTATAAAAACAGGTATGGCAGTTGTATTTTCAAATTCAATTCCACATCGTTTTCAACAAATTCGAAATTTAACCACTCAAGAAGGTCGTCGTCGAACATTTTTGAATTTTTTTATTGTTGATCCCGAACAACCAATACATTTACAATCCAATGAAATTATTTATGCTCCAAAAAATTTTATTATTCAAATACTTCAAAAATGGCGTGAAATAGGATTACCTGATATTGTTATAGATAATATTTTAAAAATGTTAAATTTATCATCAGTATGGGAAACAAAAGATTTAGCAAAAGAGTTTCGAGCTCGTGTTCGACGCGCAATGTTAGATGAAAAAACAGGATGGGGTTGGATTTGTTGGGGAAATTGTGGAACAACAGAATTTGTACGATCTTTAACAGTATGGCCACCAAGGGAAAGAGATGAAGCACTAGATCAACTGCATCATACAGAATCTGATTGATTTGAACTTTAAATAAAAATGTACTCTATAATTGTACTTCAAGTTATATATGATGATTTTTTTCGATCTATTTTAGAAAATAGAATGATAATCACTGATAGATAAATGAGAGATAGAGAGAAAAAGTATAACCATCTAGTTGTTAATTTTTATAGACATCATAACACCTTCTTACTCTCTTATCAGGGTTTCTAATAGAAATCTAAAACAAAATGTATATGTACATTTTATTTTTCTTAGCCAAGTGTATGTGTACATCTTGTTTTCGTATGCCAAGTGTATCAAAGTGTATATGACATTTAATCTATACCTATCTATCTATATATATATAAAGAAGAGTGTCTGTCTGTCTGTTCGCTATGCATTCAGTCTCTGTATTAGCTAACGTCACCAAACCGTTTATAACACTTTTGCATATACAAGGAAAAGTGGAGAGGGGGTCGGATACGGAAGGTGCTTAAATTTAATTATTTTGCAGCGGGAACTGTAACAAAACAGGCGGATTTGGAATGCTACATAGGAAAATTTGTTTTATCTCAGATGTGCATGGCAGGATACGTTGTGGTTGTAGAAGAAAAATTTCGAGAACAATCCTTTTTAAATCCTGTGTCGATTCCTAACATACGAAATTTTTAGTTTGGGGGCTTTGAACTCGCAGCGGATATCCCCGCTAGTATGATATATAACGAACAGAGGACCGATTCATATACATAAATGAACTGCATCAGATGGAGCAGATATCATAGAAGACAAATGATAATTTGTATCAAGAGAGATCACAATGTCTCATTGTTTAGACATAACTTTTAAAATTCACATTATTCTTAAAAATTCTCAGAATTAGAAGCAAAGTATTATTTTATTGAACAAAGTGTATTTCGTACACTCTAGTTTTTAGGGCAAGTGTACCGCAGCGTGTATTTCGAGAGGAGCAAGTGTTCTGTACATTTTTATTATGCTTGGTACACTTGCTATTAGAAACACTGTCTCTTATACTTGATTTTATATTTCTACGATTGTTCTGATTTTTTGAACATACAAAACTTTAATGTACATTTATTCTAATTCATATTATCTTATTTTTAATGTACTTATTGAAAAACTGGAATGTTTTTTTGTCTTAGATAAAGAGAAAAAAGTTCTGTTACTTAGTTTAAGATACAGTTGTTTTTTTTAATGATGCCGTAATTAAGCTAAGACCTTGAAATTTAAAATAAAACATATAATGCCAGTAGATGTCGTTAGGATTTGATATACTTCGTATTTTTTTCGATTTAAGAATTCATAACAAATGTGAACTGTAATATTTTATTTATAGTTTCTAAATTGAACAAATATAGATAACTTTATGATAACTTTTTTACAAGTATAAAGTCGTACATTCTTTAACAATGGCAGAATGAACTAATGAAAAAACGTTTTATTTTTCTAACTATGTCTATCGCTCTAGACTTTACTTTCGCTCAAAAAATATTATCTCAAGATATCTTAACTAGAATCTTATACGATAAATTGCTTGAAGTTGTGTTTTAAACAATTTAAATCGATTATTTCTATTTGAATTGTTTTTCACATATAATAATTAATAGGATCTATCAAATCTCACCAAAAAAATCTACGATGTATGATTGTCTTCTTGCCCATTTCATTTTGTAATATTATTAGTTTGTTAATACAAATGGATGAATAAATCTACTTCTTTCAAAGATAGTTTTTAGAAAATAGTATCATTTATACTGTTGACAATGGAATATTTCTGATGAAATTATTGGTAATTTACATACTGATATATGTATGTGGTCAGAAGAGACACGTCATTTTTTTCCGAAAAATAATACAAGATTCTTTTCGAATTACTAAACTTAACCGAGATTAGAGAAACTGGATTTATCGATATGAAAACACATATATAATACAATGATAGATTTCACTGAAGTTTAAACTATTAAAGATAACTGAATAAATTATAGAATGAATCAAAGTTGAAGTCCAATAATATCAATTTAGGTAATAGTCCGTTTTAGTAGAAAAACAATAACTTACAGATATAGCATTTTTTTCAAATTTAATGATAGCTTTAAGATATAATTTAATATTAAACGTATCAATTTTAGATGTCTATATCGAAAGTGTGTATTATAACTGGTTCAAGTTCTGGTCTTGGATTTCATACAGCGAAAAAATTAGTAACAAAAGATTATCATGTGATTTTTGCATGTCGTGATGAAGTCAAAACAGTGTCATTACTTCAAAAAATGAAAAAAGATTTAGATCGATCAAATTTTGAATTTATGAAGTTAGATCTCGGTTCATTTGATTCAATTAGACGGTTTGGAGTTTTTTTTGCTTGTTTTATCTAATATTTATTCTATTTGATACAATTTTTTAGATTCGTCGATGATTTTCATAGTAAAAACTTACCACTTAATTTGTTGATCAATAATGCGGGTGTTTATTCGAAAAATTTCAACAAATCCAGTGATGGAATTGAATGTTCTTTTGCAGTTAATCATCTAGGACATTGTATGACTTAACTTAGAATAGTAGCAAACATACAGATTCGTTTTCAGCTTAACTACATTTTATACTAGCATTTATTTTCTATTACTTATCTAATCGTCCGATCTATATTTATTACTCATAGATAGTACACATATAAGTATTTTATGTACATAAGAATCTCATCTTTTTATATCTAAAAATAAGTAGACGAACTTTTTTAAGATGCATAGTACTCTTGAAACTTAGATGATCTTTGTAGCGGCTTTGAAATACTGAAAAAGACTTATTATAATATTTGATTTTTATTTAGTTTTATTTACAAATCTTCTTTTGGACGACTTGAAACGTTCAACTCCTTCAAGAATAGTAATTATTGCATCAAAACTTCATGATTCAAATGTAAAACATGGAAATCCTCCAAATTTCAAATGGACCTTAGATGAGATTAACAATGAGATAGAATATGATGGAATGATTGCTTATAAGAACTCAAAATTAGCAAATGTGTGGTTTGCATATGAATTAGCTCGAAGATTAGAAAATACTGGAGTCAATGTTTATGTTGTTTGTCCGGTATAAATATTAATACTATGCTCTTTATTTCTTAGAGAAATCGATAAACTATGTTTGTTTTAGGGTTTCGTTCCTACTACAGGTCTGAGTAGAGATGCAAATGTTTTTCAGAGATATTTCATGTTTTATATATTATCTCTATTTCCATTTACACGGTAATTATTAATCAATGAATCAATAGATTGATTTAATTTGTTTTATTATTTAGAACAGAGGATTTTGGTAGTGAATGCGAAGTATTTGCTGCAACATCTGATACTCTTGATGGTAAAACTGGAATATTTATGTCGGATATGAAAGAAACAAAATCAAGTGAAGATTCGTACGATGAAGAGAAAGCAAAACGATTATGGACTTTAAGCGAACAATGGATAAATTAACGTACTTGAAAAATAATATTACTCATATTGAAAACAATTTTTTTTAATTCTATAATGAATTGTTAGAATGCGTATGAAGCAATGTAAAAGTGCTATTTTTTTATTACCTTTTATTAATCATAGTGTGCGAATAATTGCATGAAAGATAGACTCTATATCTACATTTTTACTCTTATTGACATCTCTACCTTGTGTATATTGGATTATGTACCTCTTCGCCGAAGACGCAGATCGCCAAAACTCGCGCCGAAATAAACATCATCGAAAAGAAAGATAATCGAAATGAATATCATCGAAATAGGCATTATTGATCTATTGATCATCGAAATAAAGATCGCTGAATTTTTTTTAATGGCCTGTCTTACTAATTGTCGCTTCCTCAATCTTTCCTTCATTTTTGAATATATATGTATCATAGAAGTTGATAGTATTATGCGGCAACATGAATAGCGGGTTGTTGTATTGGATGTACGATTGGCGAAAAGCGGTGTGCCGATTGGCACTTAGTTGAAAGTGAAATTGTAGAAATGCTAGTCGGTCGAAATGTATGTCGCCGAAATTATAGATTGTCGAATCGTATTTCGCCGATCTGCATTTCGACTATGTAATTTTCGCCGAAGAATATGTATACCTTTGTGTACAGTTGTTATGACAATTCTATCATTCTGTAGTTGACATCATTGCTTTTCGTTTTTCTTTCAACAAGTAATTGCAACATCATGTGAAAACAATGACAAAATAAACATCTACTCATTTAATCGGAAGAAAAAATAATAATAGCACACAATATAATCAGCATAAAAACTACGCAACACGCATTTCATAAACAGTCTGCAATGGCAAACCAAATTGTCGTCAACTTCCTTACGTTACCGGTAGAGCTTGTCTACCGAATTCTAGATTATCAATCGGATTGGACAATGATATTCTCAATGAGTAACGTATGTCAACGATTCAATAGAATCTTGAACAGCTACGATCGATACCGGGTAAACTTTTTTCTATGACGATAGTTTAATTTTTATCTATTGACTCCAGTAAAATATACATAAATAAACTATTTCTTACTCGAAATAATTCATTATTTACCCCTCTCCTACCAAAAATTAATTTCTTATGCAATCATAATCTAGACATCGTGTCCTGATAATCAGAAAAAATGATTTCTCCTTTTCGTTTCTTTTAAATTTCATCTATCTATTTCACGTTTCAAACTACGTATGATGTTATAAACATACGATGTTTACATAAGAACGAAAAAAGGGAACAAAACATTATTATTTGTTTTTTACGTGTATCCTAGCACGTTTTCTTTTAAATGCCATTTTGATAATTAAAATCGGTTTTTGAAAGAAATTAACGATCGATTAATCAGTTTATCCTGCTATAAATAACGTCCTCGATATTTTCTTGAGAAATATCTCCGATAAATACTCCTTTAAAAACATGCGTGATTATCGATACAGGTGATGGTGGATGTGGATGGAGACAAGATTCAGTCACATCACTCATACCCTTTTTATTAAGGTGAAATATTTCTTCAAAGAATACTACTTCTAAAGCAAATTTTATCCTTAAGTAATTGCTCCGAAACGCAGTTTATCTGAGGCACACTTTCTCAATGATGAAATTGCAGGAATAATTCGTCAGCGATCTTTTTTATAAGGTCTTTTCTCCATGCATTTGTTATCTATCATAATGAGTCTAACATTATAGAATATATGGTTTCACTTTTCACTTTCTATAAATCAATGTCGCTTTCTAAACAGAATCGTATGCTGGCATCGAGAAAAACTATCGACATCAATATATATTCTTACGTAGATGAATCATACGGATCAATAAGACCCAGTTCGATACTCACACTGATTTCTGATGCAAAACACATAGCGAGTCTGAACAATAAACATGAACGAAAACCGTCCATTAACTATTAACAAGAAACTATCTTTTTATCATACTTACGGAATACTAACACGCGCTACATCATACTTGACAACGTACAAATCCACTTACTGTAATACATTGTCATATGGGTATATAGTATTACGTTGCACAATTCCTTTGAGCAAAGGTGACTTACAAATTATTTTTCATTAACTAAAAACTTTTCCCTCTTTCCCAAACACTAGGAGACTACAGCAACTTACAGACAAAACGTTTTTATCCCTACACCACCCTTGGTGACTTCTTTTCAGTCCAGATTTTCACAACACATCATTGCAATACTATGCAGTAGATAAAATCCCTAGAATATTCATGCTAGTATCCAAAGAACCTGAAACCAGATCCGAGCAACATTTATTTCACTTTTATAACCTCACGTAACAACGATCAACTATTCTCTCTCTTCATCTGTATACCGTATTCTTACCATTATTTTTTCATCTAGACATTCACCACATTAAATCTAGGCTACGATGGAATCAGAAATGTTCAAGCACAATCTTTGGGTATCGCATTACAACATAATACGGTAACTCTCATTTTCCCTTTATCCATACCATCCCTTTGCCTCTACTACTTCATCTAGACACTCACCGCATTAAATCTCGAACATAACGCAATCGGAGGTGTTGGAGCACGATCTTTGGGTAATGCATTACAATACAACACAGTAACTCTCAATTTCCCTTTATCCATACCATCTCCTTACCTCCCATTCTTCATCTAGACACTCACCACATTAAATCTCCAATATAATGCTATCGGAGATATTGGAGCACAGTCTTTGGGTGATGCATTACAACACAACACAGTAACTCTCATTCTGTCTTTATCTAAATCATGTCTTTATCTCTACTACTTTATCTAGACACTCATCACACTAAATATCTCGAGCAATGAAATAGGATATATTGGGGCACAATCTTTAGGTGATGCATTACAACACAATACAGTAATTCCTATTCTCTCTTTATCTATAGCATGCCTTTACCTCTACTACTTCATCTAGGCACTCACCACATTAAATCTCGAACATAACGCAATCGGATCTGTTGGAGCACAAGCTTTGGGTAATGGACTACAACACAATACAGTAACTCTCATTCTCTTTTTATATATACCATATCTTTACTTCTACTACTTCATCTAGACACTTACCAAACTAGATCTCTTTAGCAATCAGATGACAGATATTGGAGCACAATTTTTAATCGATGCATTGCAACACAACACAGTCAGTTTGATTCTCTTTGTATCTGTGCCACGTCTTTACTTCCATTTTTTTATCTAGACACTTACTGAACTATGCGTCGTTGGAAATTGGATCGGAGAAGATGTGATGCATATAATCGAAGAATTACTTGGGCAGAATGAAAGAGGAAGAAAACCGTGATTAATAATATTAAATTAATTTAGATGATGAATAAATCGCTGATAATGATCATGGGAGTATTTTTTTCTGTTCTAATTTTATCAGAAATAATAAATAAAACTGCGTGGTTTCAAACTTAATCTGTATTATGATGAAAATGTTTTGTTTAGAAATTTTGGTATTCGAGGAGAGAGATGATGGTAATGTTAAAAAATAGAACTTTTGCGGAATAATTAAATGAATGTGTAGCATATGCAAAACTAATCTGAGGTTCTCTGTAGCAATTTTAAAACTTTCAAAGGTTCCTTTTAGGAGAGCTGAGTCAGAAAAGGTTTTGTATGATAGTAGCAGAACCCTGAAAGATTGCTTAGGGTTACGATGAACAATGAAAGGTTTCGTATGGTAACAGTAAGACTCTGACACGTGCCTTCTAGTGTTGCAGAAGCAAAGAGTTGTACTCGATAATATTGAACCACAAATGTTTTCTTCGTTAACGCTAAACCATGAAATGTACCGTATGGATTAGTACTAAACTCAGAATGATTCTGTGTTCAATACTATTGGGTGTGGATGTGACATGGGAGTAGGGGTGAATGTTGTCATCATTTCATACAAACGCCTACATTCACCTTCAGCTCACGTTAGATATAAAAAAGCATTTTGAATTTTATGTATTTTAAAAAAGATTTTATAGTCTTTTTGTTGAAAAAAAAATAAGAATAAGAAAATTAATTGAAAAATAAACTTTATTTATCGTTTGAATAAAGTTTTTTCAAAATTATTGCATGAGTTGAAAACAAATGATTTGTAGCGGTACTAATCATATATGAATCATCCAGGACAGTTTCACATTATATGATTCGTTGGGTAGAAATGGTATCACGCCTTGATGAAGTATTTTATATATAAGTACATTTATATTATTATTGTTTGTCAGAATCTTGTATTCATTTCTTATTATTTCTCTCTATTATACAAATGGAATTTGCTACTCTTGGTCAACATTGTTCTATGAAAACATGTAACCAATTAGGTAAGCTATTGACTCTTTACTTTAACTAGCATCTCATTTAACTTTGTATTAGATTTTTTACCTTTGAAATGCAATTTATGCTCTGCTGTATTCTGGTCAGTTTGTTGTTTTTTTAATTAAAGTTATTTTATATATTTGTTTTTTGTTATTTTAGCAAAGAGCATATAAAATATGAGGAACATCAATGTCCATCATTTTATCGTAAAAATGCTGAGGTGCCAGTCTGTCCATCATGTAATAATGGTGCATCATTACGAAATCGTGAATGTAGATGTGATCCATCATTAAAAAAACGTGAAAAAGTTTACTCATATAAATGTTCAGTTATTTCATGTAAACAACATGAAGCAATAGAAGTTAAATGTTATAAATGTTTAAATAGATTCTGTTTAAAACATCGATTTCCAGATGATCATAAATGTCAGGGATTTGAAAATATTGAGCGATCAGTAAAGATATCAAGGTACGATATCAATTTTTCATTTTTGTACTATTAAGACTATTTTCTGGTCATTTTTTTAGTGATACAGCTATAGAATGTATGAGAAACACAAATACTATTATTGAAAATAAAAATCAATCAAACAATGCAACAACAATAGAAGATGATAAATTACTTGCACTAACTGTCCAATTATCTTTAAATCGAATGTAATCTATTCAATTTTTTGTTACTATATTATATTTTGTTTTTGTTTTCAATATAGAGCACAAGAAGAAAATGATTTTCTATTAGCAAAAGCTTTACAAGAAAGTGAACAAGAAGAAACTAGACGAAGCCGTACAACTGTAAGTATTCAGAGATAAAGTTCTGATTGATTTCTGAAATCAATGAAATTGATCCTATAGTAGTGATATGTGCATCTTATAGGATATAAAAAGCAAAACTTGATCTATACATATATTTTTTTAGCCGATGGTTACAACATCTAACAGCAATCATCGACCGAAACGTAAAAAAACTTGTTCCATTCAATAGTAAACAATTTATTTGTATTGTGCTACCGTTCTATTACGGAGCATACACCAGAATTTCGACATTTCGTCACGTACCATGTTTGTCTACTGATGCACTTCCATTCTCGGCTTTATCTTTTCTCTCCTATGCTCGCTATTTGACTATCGTAGTTAGTTGTGAAAGAATGGCATATATTTCATTGATAAATAAAATATACCAAATGCCCAATACAACGATATGATCATCAAATAAATAAATAAAACTTGAATTAACAATAGTTTATTTAATTTAACAAATAAAAAAAATACTTTTTCTGCAATAATTCATTATTTTTAACAGATATAAAAATGAATTTTTCTCTCATTAAAGAGTTAGTAGTCTTTTTAGGACAACCACATTCTCTTTTTTCACCTATCGGGGGGTTGAGATTAAATAGCAGTTTCAGTATTTCATTAATACTTCTTTTAGTTTCCATTGCTTATATTTAAACTTTTTTTTGTAAAAGATTTCCCGCTCAATTCTCTAGAAGAATATAAGCAGATGTTTGATCTGAAATTGAAATTTATGATTATCAATCAGCTAAAATAGTTATATTACAATGCATTATGTCACTTTTTCTAATGAAAAAAAATTACACAGAAACATATTTACTCTAGTAACATATTTCAAAATTAAAATATTTACAGATTTGTCATGCTAGTAGGATTTATTCAGATGAGATTACTTAACAGTGACATTTCTCAAGTAGTTATTTTGAAAATTTCTATTTCATTAGTAATTGTGTGTATTTGAAACGACGAATCATTGTTGTGACCAATATTTGAAAAAATCAAACGTGTTAATATGGGCATCACTTATATTCAATATATGATAATTGATAAACATATGAAAAAAAGAACTAAATTAGATAATATTTGAGAGGTATTACTTTAGAAAAATAATTAATAAGACAGTTGTTATAAAATTTAAGGGATTATAGACGGTAAAGACATACTTTTTTTTCATTCATCTATCTATTCGTAAATAATTATGGTTTTTCGTTGATGGCTTTGAAGACAAATTCATTTATATCAATCTATATAAATATTATCTAATAGAATACATAAAAGAACGTTTCTACATTATTTTCATTATACTATTACTTCGACTATTGTCATAGTAGTGATAAATGTTCAACTGTGATGAACACTTATATTGCACATGTATTGTGCATTGTTTTTTTCAAATATAATGTCCTGCCCGACGTAGGTTAAATCAATCATTGATAAAAATGTAGATATAGGTGTAATTTTAAGTCAATATTCACTTCATAAACATTATTACTTAGTCAGATCTATATATTTCTATATATTCTGTTCACTCTATGTGCTGAATGATTTATTTTATAAGTCACAACATTTAAAAAGAAAAATTTATAATATAATAGTTCAATACGTTTTTTTATTGTCTGATACGAGTCGTTCGTCCATTATTTGTTGCTATCGTGTTCTGGTCATTATATGGAACAATGCGCACTCTTCGTATGATGTACTTATACCAAAAATTGACGAACAAACTGATGAACTCCTTTCGAAATGTTTTTGATGTTAAGATATACAAATAGAAAGGAATAACACTTATAAGATAAACAAGAAATAGAGCGAAGAAACTAATGAATGATTCAATTTCAACTCGTAGAGGACTTTTATTCACAACATAGTATGTAAATGCAGTGTAAATAAGATTTGATGAATAAGGAATTGATACAGAAATACTTGCTATAATTTCAGCGAATACCATACGTGTTAGACATCGATCTCGTTGTCTTGTACGTACTGGATTATCGCGATGTCGCTCTCGGAGACTACGAATTGTAAGAACACTAAAAATACTCATTAACATTGGTGGTATAATGCCAATTACAGAGGTTTGATAAATTGCATAAATGAACTTGTATATACCAAACATACCACAAACACCACCTCTTATATCCATTAAAATAGGTAGATGTATGGCGATTAGTGAGCATATTACACACATAATCAAAATAAATTTTATTGCTAATGGAATCGAACTTAACGATCGAATACGGACATCAGGTCGTGTAACACAAAATCGATCAGCACAAGCAAATACGAGACAAAAACGAATAAATAGTCCGAGCGTATGACTAATGTAAAGTCGTGTTTTGCAAATGACTATCGACTGTGTCTGAGGATCAATATGGTCAAGTGCATAAATGATTGGAACAGTTGACCACGGTAAATAAATAAAACCACACATCGATAGAAAAAGAAGATAAATAGAACTAGGCGTACGACGATATGAATGCCGAGTGAACATTATGCAGTTAAACATATTACCTATAATACCTACTATAAGATATGTAGTCATACCATATCGTGTGATTCCTTGCTGAATAAGAGGTAGAATCGTTACTGCCATATTCTTCAGACTTTTATGTGAGAAAGAAAGTTAAATAAGAACTAAAAGAACAGATAACTATAATTATATAAAATAGACAAAATGACATTAGAAATAAATGTAAGATTGTAAAAAAGTACATGACTTAGTTGTTTTGACCCTGTTAGAGTATTATTTTTAAATAAAAAATCTCTCTTCGAGATTCATTGGTAGCGGAAGCGACTATAGGTAATAATCTATTTCTATTTTAAAATCATGCTCAGACTTCATTTTGAAGTTTTATCCTATTCATAAATGTATGTCTTTCATTATAATTAATTATATGGAGATGAAAGAAGGGAAAGAATTTAATGAACACTGTTCGATATGCCAAATATATCGTAATATTCACTGTCTAGACATTAAGATTTGGAACAAACGCTTAACGTTAACTTCATGACGACAGTAATTCAATACATCATCAAAAATCGGAAGAATGTGTATGCTTCTAGATTGATAATGATGCAATCAACAGTGATGCAAATGGTACAAATTATCGATTCGAATAGTCGACTCATTTTTTTAATAATCATATTATCTATCCACAAAATATAGAAACTCAGAATTGCGAGAGACAAATAAAACTAAAAGAAAAAATGATGACATGAATAGACAACAATTAGCGTGAGATTGGTAATAAACGGTAGAATGGATAATAAACAGTGCTACTATCAGAAAGTAAACCTAGATTAGTTTATTTACTATGAAATCAAAAACGAACCTTTTCTTTTTTTTCTACGACATAAAAATGATAATCTACAAATATCTATTAAATTAAAAGTCATTACTTGACAAAAAAGCTCGTATCTTGTATTGCACTAAGAAAAATATAAAGATGGAATCTGTTTGACATGAAAAGTAACAAATGAAGTTACCGGAAGAGAAACAAAGTTCTTAAAACTTTGCATTACAGTTGAAGGTTATTTAAAAAAAGAACCAACTTAATCTTATGTGATAAAAATATTTGCAAAAGAAAAACAAATCAGCTATATGCCATTATTAATATTACTGTCAATTTGAATTGAATAAATCTGACATAATAAATTGAGTTGTTGACGTCAAAAGATGTTCTAATGCGTTAATACCTTTGTTATCAATAAAATTTACTCATATAATTAGTCATTTCTTCATTATCCATCGATTACTATCTTTCAAGAAAAAGAATAGTTAGATCCAAGTGATGTCAGACATTCTAGATACATCTGACTAGGTTTTAAGTAAAGATAAAATTATGTTTTCGGTAAATAATTATCGAAATTAGGGAATTTGAGTTTTGTTAATGATTATAGGTGATTGATCAAAGTTTTACTGTAAGATAAATCTGCAAAGATTCTTAAATTCTAGGCTGTTTCATCTAGTACATAATTTTGATTGATATACACACTCGGTCCACACTCCTTCAGTTTAAAAGTATTCGAATCGAATCGAATAAAAATGGGAATTAATAAATAAGTCGTTGGGTAAATAAATTATTTCTCTACGACCGTCAACAGTTCTCTTCCTTAAGCGGACCTCTACTCCCGCTTCTAGGCTTTCTTAGGAACGACTCGACAGAAATTTATGAAACTTACAGAGCCACTAAATCTCAATGAGTGAAGCAGAAGTTGTCGTAAACTCAAAGTTTCCAGTTGCTCCCTTCCCGAAGTTTTTGAAAAATCAATGTTCAAAAACCTTTCTTTTACAGGATTTAAATTTTTCAAATACCTCTTAAATCTTTTAGAAACAAGCAAAGAAAACTCGATTTTTCAAGGTTTTTAGTATAAAACATTGATTTTTTTTTCATTCTTCACTCGTAAAAAATAGGTTTGCATATCTGCAAATAGTCTTACTACATAACGGCAATTAGTATCTATACCTGACCGCAAAAAAAATCGAAACTTTTTTCGAGAAAGCGGGGGTTCTCTTTAAAAAACATCAGTTATGTTGCAACTCTTTATTTATTCATCGTCATAAAGACACATTCTTTTATTTTTTTTCATTTAGACTTTCGTATATTCATGCACGCATACATACATTCAACGAACGAAAGAGGTGAAGGTAAACTCCGTGCATTACTGCAGACTATATAATTAAATGTGAATAATATAAGAAAAAATTGCGGAAGTAGACATAAAAGAGGTTTTATACTGAAATAAGCTTATTCATTTTATGTATTCGTACGCCTTTGCAATAGATGAATCATCTGAGATTATTCATTGAATTTCGGCGTCAATAAATATGTTTGAATTCATTCGTTAGCGTTGCACATTATACAAATTTAAATCTCAAATCAATCCATCAGAATACAGAATATACAGGTTTGTATAGTTTAGATACGTAGTCGTGTAATAATAATTTGAAAATACCTATTGAGACCTTCTTCCTTCCTTCAAAAAAGTTAGTTTTTGTCAAAAAATTCGAAATTAAAATAAATACATGGGAACATAGTCCATATTCAGATCTTTTTGAAATGATATATTTTTTTCCAACATGTTTTCTGTAATCAGCTGCTTGAAAAATAGGCTTTACGAAAAACACAACATGTTTTTTGTTTTTTCTTAATATATACTTTTACAATCGTGCACTCCACATTTCTCTGTTCAGATTCGTTTGATATATATTAGTTTTTTTTGCTTTAAAGACATCTTTCTTAGACTTTCTTAAGTCAATGAACTTAGAATTTCTTTTCTTCATTTAGAAAGTAAGTATTTGAAAGAATAGGCTCTATCATATATCACATCTTGATACGCTCTTTCAGGCCAAAAAAAACATTTAAATATATCGAACGAACCTCAACTACAAAATTTGGAATGCCGAATGAGCTATTTTTTATCCTTATTTGGATTATTTTATTATATAATCTAGCTTCAGTAACGCTCAAGTGCAACCGAAAACATATTTGACTACAACATATTGTACTTCCTTGTACTTCTTTAAATTCTCACTGTACTCCCTTCGAAAAAATACAAGGAAGTACAGTAGGAATACATGGGAGTAAAACGGAAGTACGATGGAAGTATAGCTTTTTCCCCTTGGTATTGCTACATCCCTAACCATATAAAAAATGACCACAATTATTCAAAATCACTTGAAATCAGTTTGTGCACCTTTGCGAATGATGGAAGACTATAATCGATTAACGTAACTACAAGTTTTCCATATTAACAAATTAGATTATATAATATATTAAAATAACCAAGTTGTCGATTGCTCTCTAAATAATAGATCAGTTAAATAGATACCTAGTCAGACTGGAACTTATTTAATTGACACAGATGTATATCTACTTTAAAATAGATGAATGATCAACGAACTTATAGAGCAGCTGTTGAAATTTCATTGCCAAAGGTAACTGAATTACCACCACCACCACCTTATACAGCTGTAACAACTGAATTACCACCACCACCTTATACAGATGTAACAACTAAAATACCTACTTCAGATCTCGTAACTGTTGGACATCAACAGGTGTCCGTTGATTATAACAAGGGTCTATGTTATATTTTAAGAGACTTACGGGACAGATTGACAAATCACAAAAGCTCCATGATTATCTCTCTTATTTTTTTTCTTCTATCTACTATTTGGTTTGCTGCTCTCATTATTGGCGGTGAAAATCGTTGGAAATGTCCTGCTAAACCAGAACTTGCACAATGGTTTATTGTTATCGGTGTAATGGGTATTGTCTTGACCTGGCTAATAGCTTTTCTTGTAAGAATTTTTACAAATTTTATATATACAGTTTCTGAAAAGTAATCGTAAAACTGAAATAATTTGATAAAAAGAAAACTTCGTCATTAGATAACTATTTTGATCAGATTTGTATTTGTGTATATGATATTTGAAGAAAATGAAGCAGAAGGGTAGCTATCAATTTGATTACTGTCAAGATGTTAAGCTTTTTTACCAAATTCTGCTCTACTAAAAATTGATCTTGAATTTCAATCCTTTGAAGATATTTTCCTTACTTAAAAATATGTTTGAATTTGAGACGTTGACAATAGGAGAGATTGTTCTGTTGAATAGCATATATTTATATGTGAAAGAAGAAAGAGAACTAATTCAAATACAATACTTATAACTATTTTTGTATAGTAGGATATTTCACCGATGTGCTATAATACAGTTCTAATAATAATATATAGTAACAATGATTCGTTTGCGCTAGAATTCCACTACATCAATCAATATATATATATATATATACATAGAATTATACGTTTTTTTAAATCATTTTCCGTTGATTTTTTCACTTTGGAGAGAATACTTATTTATCTAGATTATTGGTCGTGCTGTCTGCGTCGATTCGCACCGAAAATGTTTTAAAATACTTCTCATTTTAATATCAATTCTGGCTTTAGCATTTTTCATCGCTTGGACCATTGTTGTATGTAACAATACTAGTCTTGTATGAAAATTTGACTTGTATATTGTTTTCATTCTTTTACAGGGCTTCTATTGGCTAAGTGGCACGAACCCTATGAACTGCGATCAAACACTATATAATGTTGCTATTTGCTTGCCCATAGCTCAACTTTTTATTATTATTTTACTATTTTCTTGTATATGTACTGGATATAAGTGTCCTTGTTCGAAATTTCCTGCAGAAGAGATGGATATGCTCCGAGAACTGTATGGTCTCTCTCCGGAAAATACATGACCAAATATATTGTATTGCTTTGATCACAAATAAAAAGATATTCATCATTATCCTTACACCTTTGATAATTTTATAAGTCGCAGCGAGTCCATCGTAAGGATAGGTTTAATTAATATATTCATCTCACATAGATACCTATCTCAAATATTAAAAAATATATTTTATACATATATATGATGTATTTAAAAAAATTAAAACTTTCCGCTCAAACAGATGTTTTTAAATATTGTCATGATATGATTTTATTTATTCTGTTAGATATAGAATATAAGAAACAAATATAAAATAACACATAATTTTTACAATAATATGAAATTTTCTTGTTCTTATTATACTCGTTTTATTTAGAATTTTTATTTCTAACGGTTTAGTGAATCAAATTCTTTATGAAATATTTAAATTTTCTGTTAATTATTGTATTCCTTTTAAAATTCTTTCACTAAACAATCGATTGTAATATTTCCATTCTAATTCAATATTTCAATAATATCGATATCGAAGTATGAACGTTGTGGTAAAGATATGGTAATATTTCAAACAAATAATACATCAACAGAGTTTATTAATTAAATCCATTTAGGACTGGTATTATCTTCTTACTACCAAGAATATTTTTAAATTTGTTCGTCTTGAAGCATTCTTAATTATATCAACTTAGAAAATCTCAATGACGTCCGGCATCATTTAAATTGTGATCATTAATTCTTAAGTCTGTTGATGATATGTATACTGAACTTAAAATATCCTAAATTTACATATCAAACAAAAACTCATCTACAAGGACTACTTGTTTTCCTTTTTCATTAGGTTTCTAGTCTTATTGAACATATTTTAATCAATAGGTGCATTTGATTAGTTTCATTTAGTTAATGACTATATATCGTCTTCAACGACTTTATTATTTATTAATCGATTCTTTTATTAAATTTCATCATCAAGTTATTCAATTATATTCCATTCTATTAACAGCACACTGAAATTATGTTTTAGAATCTGAATTCATACTGAGAAAAATATCTGTTTCACAAACTTTTATAATGTACCAAAACTATTCTTTTACAATATCATAAATATTACTTCAAATCGAAACGAACGTCATAATAAGTATTCAAAATTGCATACTTAATAGTTTTTCCTCTCAGAATAAATTCAAAAACAATCAATTTATCGTAAACTTTAGACATATAGAAGGTTCATCTATTTATTACACTTAAATTCATTGATTCCATTCATATTATAGTTGATACACCTTTGTCATTTAAATTTTGGAACACGATTCAACTTTTCATGTCATGAAAATGATATCAGACTTATATACATTTTAAATAACAAGTTTCGTAATGATAATCACTTGCTTTACACATAGAATATCTAGGAAAACGTTGAAATCGACGTTCGTATATCTTGCATGCTTCCATGAACAATATACTTTCCAAAAAATCATTTCTTTCATTCCAATTACATCATTGCACATTACTATCCAAACAGTTTGCTCTCGTTTTTATACAAACTAAAATACAAATCAAAATTATACTATCAAATACTAATAAATTTCACTTACTCATCACAATCATGATTATCTAGTTTCCACTTCGATTTCATGAATAATTTCATTAAATATATATATAAAATCATCCATATCAACATGAATAGGACCATCATAATTTCCATATCCTTTACAAATCCAGTAATGTTGTTCTAGATGAAGACTCATTTCCGCATACATCTGTGGAAATGTCATTCCTTTATTATATCCAATCTCAACAACATATGTTCCTGCTGATGACCAAACAACATTTAGCATTCCAGCACCATGAGGACCAACTATGATACGAGCTCGACGAAATAAAGCAATATGATCACGAACATGTCCTTCAGCTTCGAATATTTCTAAATGTAAACCTAATGATTTCTTCAATCTACTGTTTATAAATGCAACCATATCTAAATGTTCAACAATCGATCGTGTACCTCCATCTTTTCGTTTTATGAGAATAACAAGGTTTCTCTTATTCTTAGATTGTTGATCATCATCACCGCCATCAGTCGCTAGAGCTCGATGAACAAGTTGCATATCTGTTCGATCATAAAGATGATGAGAGTTATTTTTATCAGTTAGATAAGGCCAAGATTCACTTCGATAAACAATCTTAGCAAAATAATAAGGTCGATTGTTGTTGTCATATGGAATAATTCGATCACGTGTAACTATGCCACGTTCAACAAGGACATCAAGCAAAGAATCAGCGATGCCACCTTTTGCAACAAGAACTTTAGCTGTTTTGGGTGCAGTAGCTAATAGACGAAGTAGTCGTGGTAGTTGTTCAGGTACAAAATGTCCTGGTGCCTGAAGATAAACTCCAATAGAATCAATGAGTTCAGTATATTGATGTTCAGGATGAACTCGTGGAATATAAAAAATAGGATCATTATAACATAGATTATTCGTCCATGATTGAAAATGAAAAGTAGCATGTTCAGTGAAGATTGTTCCAGGTAGTTGAGAATGACAATAACCTGTATCGATATATGCATTAAATACAGCAATAGTTACAAATCTTGTAGTTGCTGGCAGTCGTTGATCGAGCTCTGATTGTGATTGTTTACATAAGGTCCATTTGTGATCGATATTAAGTGATGAGCATGTATTAGATAAAGAACGTGCACGTGGTAATGGATGAGGAGTGAAGTTTGGAAGACGAGCAACATTATCCACGATGCATCCTTTATCTGAATGAATATCAAAATAACTGAGAACATCATTGACAACTGTGGTGGATTGTATTCTACATGCTATTGGTTGTGGTGAATAAACAGTTGACACTCGACAACGTACAAAATCGTCATTTTTGTCCCAAGTCCAATCAAATAAATGAGTGAGATTATATCGTTGAACCCAGTCTGGCATTTGCCACGATTCAATCGAGGCAACTTGTGAGCCAGATGGTCGTGGAGGAAAGTGAGGTTTGAAGGCGGATTGATTTTGACATATAGGTAAACGAAAAATAAATAACCATGTTACTAAGATGATAAAACATAATATAATAGCGATACGTGATATATACAATTTGTTTCGCATTTGTTGATAGATATAATTAATAGTTTATGACGATGAAGATGTGAGATGCGAAGTCACAGCTTAGTATGACACTACTGAAATGTATTAAAGTAGCAAGTTAAATAAAATACGTTCTTCAATTACTAAAGTATCGGATGATCCAGTATAAATAGGTCATTTTTTATTTAGAATTTTTCCGTATTTGATTTGCATAATGGATTTCAAGTTTCTTATGAGAAAGATGCGTAGTAAAAGTCTCTGTAAAATAAATTTAAGATTAATCGATAAAAATATTTAGTTCTTTGGAGATGAGATTATTTTGAGAAACACATGAAGATTTTCAATAGTTGAAAAGAATATATCTATTATAAAGGGACTGAATCAGGATTGTCCAATCTAAATTTTGGAAATCAGGAAGTTTTCGTTAAAACACAGGAGTTGATTAGGAGATTCTCTTTAAAAATCACGAGAGTTTTTCTTTAACCAAGAAGAAAAATACAGCAGTGTCATGCACTTTTCCAAAAAAGCAAAGCTTTTTATTCTCAAATATTTACAGTTTTGGTTCTTAACAAGCGAGTTAATGAAACGATCTATCTTACTGAGCAAAACAAAGAAATACATAAAGATAATTACAAATCGTTTAGTTTACTAATTATTTCGAAGCTGTACATTGAAAAATACATATAAGATTGATATAAGCATGTCTTAAGAAACTGCCGAAGAATCGAAACAGAACAGAGTAAAGCACCTACATCCTTTTTTGATATTATTGCTATACGTTTGTATATTTCTTCAAAGTGAATTTATTTGTTTAACTATTTTACACTATTTCACAGATTTACTCATTTTAATTTTGAGCTCGGCACTCATTGAGATTATTTTTTTATTTTATTCCTCTTATCATATAGTCAAAATTTTGTGTAACTGGAATTTTGACTCATGATTAGTTCTTTAAACTCATTATTTATCGATCCATGGTAGCATTAGAATCGGATGGAATCTAACAAGATCGACTGGCCTGTAGAGATGGAAATTTTACGAATTGAGATTTTTCAATAGCCTCTTCTTTGTCGATCATGTCTCTGGCGATAAAAAACCTAATATAGCGTACACATTACTGATAGAATTGGTAAAATACGGCACAAAACACAGGTTATCTAATTATTTCTTGTAGTGTTCAGTTAAAAATATGGTTTTTGTTGCATGTGTCATATATGCTCTCCGAAGGTATACCCTCGCATAAAACTCTTTCCTCTATTTGTTTCTTTTTTTTATCATACCTCGTATAAAATTCATTGTCAAATGAAATATAACTTCAGAGTTTTATTACACTGTGATCATTTTATCATACTGAAATAAAACGCTTAAGTCATCTCTCTACTAGACAATAAATTTTATATAAAGTATGATAGCACAGTAATAAAAATGGTGGACAGATTTTTTTTTTGTTCGTAGGTGTATCTCATATTTGGATTCATATTTCTATAAAGATTTTGTCAAAAGAATTAGAAATATATGACGCTGGTTTGGCGCTACTTGGTTTGCTATCATATACATATAGTTATAACTATTCTCTTTTTTCTCATTTTTTGCACATAAAATGTTGCCAAAACTTAGGCAAGAAAAGAATTAAAAATTAGGAGAAAATCTTTAAAATCAGTTCCTGATTTCAGGAGAAATGTTTAAAAATCAAGTATCTCCTGGTCAAATCAGAAAGTTTGGCAGCCCCAGACTGAATGCGAACACTGTGTAGGTACTCATGCAAAACAAATTGACAGAAAAATCAATTGAAAAATCGGTTATAATCATAAGCTATAATCGATATGAAGCTGATTTTTACCGTATTCTTTCCATGGGTAGCAGTGGTACACTATGTTGGTAGTGACATATGCGTCACCTACACCAGTATGTATCATTATAATTGCACGATAAATGGTTAACACAAGTTTTGTCATATTCATTTACAGCCAGACGTAAATATATATCTCGCATCCTTAAGATGTTAAAGTGCCATTTACTTGATGGATACACATTTACCTTTTCTATCATTTTAAAAAGAAATATATTGCACATCTTTCTCATAAAAAACTTGAACTCCATTATGAAAAACAGGTAAGAAAAAATTTTAAAAAAAATTATCCAATAAAAGGTAATTGACAAAATATAATTTTTATGTGTACCCTGCACTAATCACTTACGTGCTATATTTATGAAGCAAAGAAACATTCGTCAAAAGTCATAAATTTTTTTAAATTATTTATGAAAAGAAATTTTGCAGAAAGAAAATACTATCCTACTTGTCAACTCGATTATAATTTATGTATAATATATGATTTAATTTAATGTGCTCGTTCTCACTTAAAATACAGAAAGAAAACTGCTTCCCTTTCCGTGCATTTCTTTGTGAGTTCTGATTCCTCACTCACTCACCGTAGTTTCTTTTATCTCTTAAAAGTATATTATTCTTTCTTTTGCCTACTGGCTACTTTTAATCAATAAAAAAAAATTTCTTTTCTCTTCCATTTCTTCTCTACAGACTAGCAATTCATTGAATATGTTGATATATATATATATATACAAATATTGAGATAGTATAAGGCCGCTGTAATTCAATCTATTTACTTTTGTATAGTAACATTTGTCTCATTTTATTTTATCTTAACTATCATGACTTCGATCGCTTTTTTCAGTTTTTACAGCTATGAGAGATGTAATTTATTTAAAATCAACACAAAATGCTTTTTTCCTTATAGTAGACATCTTTGGATTTATCATTATGTTGTTAGCTTAGTTCAACTGATTTAAGCTTATATTTAACGTTATAATATGGATAATGTTTATGTAGATTTTGTCTAATGCCGGAAATATTAGATTATTCGATTCAACGTAAACTGTACCTTGCGATATGTTATGTTTACCATGTATAGGTATCATGCGATATTAATTGTGAGAATGATACTAGTGAATGATATTTTAATATGAATAGTAAATATGATTGTAAGGAGTTACTTTCTCTATGATAAATATGTTTGTTTTAAAGTATATTATTCCTTATTAATATCAAATATCGATAAATTTGTAGAATAAATAGTAATGATAAACTCTTTTTGGAGAAAATAAATGTAATGTCTATCTGCAAGAAATTTTCTTTTTATGATGGATGTTATGATACAGATAACTTATGTTGGATCTCAAAAAAATAAATAATTCTTAATAGATCTGAATCGACTTACTTCTGTTAGGAGATTAAAACAAAATATGAAATATTTACAGTAATAACTGATTACTTCTTGAATTTTGTAACCAATTTTTGAACTGTCAATCGCGTAACTTTATATAATATATGAACTATTCTTAAACAATATTGCTATCGCTTTATATTGTAAGGTATAGTCATAATTTATTTCATAAGAGAGACAGTTAAATGATTTTCTTGTACTTATTTATAGCAATTATATTGTGTTTCACATTTTAAAATTACAAAGACTATGATATCAGTTTTTTAATATAAATTAAATGTAGCAATACTAAAAGACGATGATATAGAGAAATTTTATATATAAATTATACCAAAAGGAATGTGATAAAGTATGGAAAATATAAATGAAATTTGACAATGATTTACAAAAACAACAGAAAATAGGTTAGTAACCATTCATTATATTATGTGAATAATTATACTATTCATATATCGATTTTTTTTTAACAATAAGAAGATATACTTTAAATGATTCGTTTTATTATCAATAAACTTGTTTATACTCAATCTAATGAATTATTCTCAATTTCAAAAGAAAGATAGAAAAAAATCAATTTGTTTTATTTAAGAGTTTAAAATTAATTATCTTACTATAAACAAGTAACGTTCATCGAAACTCCATTCAATTGTCCTTAGCCTGTCGCGATCTACATGCGGATATGACTATATTTAGATATAAATGAAAGTTAATCAATATTAGTTTTGACTTTCAGCAGAAAACCAAGCATTTTCTAAAAGTTTGAAAATGCTTTATCTTTATTAAACTCAATTTTATAAAAAGTAGAATTTGAAAAAAGTTCAGTTTATGTCTCTATCATTATATATCAAAATAGAAGTTAAACTCTTTTTTCTATATGCACTATAACAAGACAACTAAACTGACAAGTTTATTTCAAATATTTTACAACAATGCAACTAATAAAATTTTAAAATAATCAAATTACAATACATACTTCTTGGAGCTTCTAATCCTGGGCTTTGCTTTTCTGATTTATGGTAAAATATGTTTAGACACATCGTCGTTGTTCTCATATTTGCATTAAAAATATTGATTGATGATGATGAACGACATGTTATATAAAAATAGGTCAACGTTTTTTTTGTTGTTAATACTATTTTCATCTTCCTCTATATTAAAAGTAAAATTGGCGTTGCCTCATTGTTTTAATTTACTCAATAAAATAATGATATATATATATATAACTAAGAAATATTTCAAATATTTATGTTCTCGCCATTTTGACACTAATAAATTAAATATTATGTTATTCAAATAAAACGACATTCGCAAATAAAAATTATATTAATAAGAATATGCCATGTTACCGATAAAAATAGTGCATGTAAATAGATAGTATAGCTCAATGGTAAAAAATTGACCGATGATGATATACAAATTATGACTTTTTTATTTGATATGAACGAATATAATCAAGTCTTATTGCATAAATTTGTTTATATTAAGAAGAAAGTTTTTCAATATAATTTTTCCACTAAATTTTTAATCAGATAAAAATTTAAGATGCTATGTTTCTCACTGTAAATCTTTTACTTTCGTTTTATCATCATTCAACAGTGAACTGAATGCTAGATATGACAAAAAAAAGATGAAAAGATTTTTATTCGCTATTGTGGTAATCAATAAAATTAAAACAAAGTATTCTTAAATAAATATTTGTTTGAATTTTGACAATGACATAAGTTGGTCAATAGAAATATTCATAGAAATTTAATATCATGAATCAATGGTTTTGTAGTAAGCATTAAGAAAGAGAGGAAAAAACGATTTGATTTTTTTGATATAAATCGGTTTACATCCATAGTTAATTTTAAAGTAGTATTTTCATAGCATAAATTGTGTAAGTTTTTAAGATATATATTGAATGTAAACGGTATGAACTGGTTTTTATTTTCGTATTAGAATAATATCATTAGATGAATATTTGACAAAACAATGAAACTTTTTACTGAATAAATATTCAGTCGATACTGTAAAGATCTGTATGCTCAAAAAATTTTATCAAATAAAAATGGCATTTTTTCATAAAAAAAATGAAACAATAAAGAATACATTGTACTTTTCTAGAGCACTTCCACAGCTAAAACTACGTAGATTGACATTCTCTACAAAAATTTCCAAATAGACGTCTGCACTCGAATTATTCAGGAGAACCTTCTGATTTAACTGAATGATTTCTATTCGATGATGTATTCGACTTTTCCGTAGACCAGTATTGTGATTCAAAATTTTTATTTAGAACTGAAGTCGAAATTATATGAAATCTTTCGATAATTTAAATAAAGACAAAGAATATATGCTTTACTTTCAATAAGTAGAGCCAGATTATTTAAAATCCCTTTGCTTGTTTGAATATTTTTTTTTGTATATATTTCTTAAAAGACTGGATTGATTTTCGTAAAATTCTACATTAGGTTCTGAAACAACCCAAGAGACTTTTTATCTAAATACAGAATTTTCTCATTACAAAATTTGTTTTGATAAATTAATAATTTAATTAACTGAAAAAACTTTATTCTATGTTTGTTTTTCTTAATAATATCAGACTGAATTTATCTAAAACTCATTCCAATGGACTTCTAACGCAAGCAACGTATTTCAATGAACTTTGTAAAAATAGTATATTGTACATTATGTTTATAACAATTATGATTCATGACTGAATAAAATAAACAATAATAGAAAATATTATTATAACTTATCAAATAGTTTTTCTAGCTTTATTATGCTCCTGAAGTCATTATTTCTCATAAGTGTTTTTTTGTAGAAACAGTGTCTTGAAAAATGTTCAGATCGATATTCGTGTGTCTTGCATTGCTTCATGACCAATATATTTTCCAAAAAAAGCTTTCTTCCATTCCAATCACATCATTACATTTTACTATCCAAACAGTTTACCCTCGTTTTTGTTCATACTAAAATACAAATCAAAATTATACTTTCATATACTAATAAATTTCGCTTACTCATCACAATCATGATCATCTAGTCTTCACTTCCATTTCATGAATAATTTCATTAAATATATATATAAAATCATCCATATCAACATGAATAGGACCATCATAATTTCCATATCCTTTACAAATCCAGTAATGTTGTTCTAGATGAAGACTCATTTCTGCATACATCTGTGGAAATGTCATTCCTTCGTTATACCCAACCTCAACAACATGTGTTCCTGCTGATGACCAAACAACATTTAGCATTCCAGCACCATGAGGACCAACTATGATGCGAGCTCGACGAAATAAAGCAATATGATCACGAATATGTCCTTCAGCCTGAAATATTTCTAAATGTAAACCTAATGATTTCTTCAATCTACTGTTTAT